GATTTTATTTATTTACTTGACAGAGAGAAGGAACACAAGCATGGGGAGTGGGAGAGGGAGAAGCAGGCTTCCCGCTGAGCAGGGAGCCCCATGCGGGGCTCGATCCCAGGACCTCAGGATCATGACCTGAGCCGAAAGCAGACGCTTAACTGACTGAGACACCCAGGCGCCCCTAAAAATATTTGTTTATTTATATTTTTATTTTTTTAAAGATTTTATTTATTTGACAGAGAGAGACACAGTGAGAGAGGGAACACAAGCAGGGGGAGTGGGAGAGGGAGAAGCAGGCTTCCCGCCAAGCAGGGAGCCCGATGCGGGGCTCGATTTCAGGACTCTGGGATCATGACCTGAGCCGAAGGCAGACGCTTAACGGCTGAGCCACCCAGGCGCCCCTAAAAATATTTATTTTTATTTTTATTTTTTTAAAGATTTTATTTATTTGACAGAGAGAGACACAGCGAGAGAAGGAACACAAGCAGGGGGAGTGGGAGAGGGAGAAGCAGGCTTCCTGCAGAGCGGGGAGCCCAATGCGGGGCTCCATCCCAGGACGCTGGGATCATGACCTGAGCCGAAGGCAGACGCTTAACGACTGAGCCACCCAGGCGCCCCAAAATATTTATTTTTTTAAAAAAGATTTTATTTGAGAGAGAAGAGAGACAGAGATAGCGCGTGAGAGCAGGCTCCCTGGAAGCCCAACACGGGGACTCCATCCCAGGACCCCAGGATCATGACCGGAGTTGAAGGCAGAAGCTTAACTCTGCTTAATGGACTGAGCCACCCAGGTGCCTCTGAAAGAAGAGATCCTTTAACATCTTCTCCCTCCCCTCCTCCCAGCCAATTCCATTACCCCCACTAAGCCAGTTATTGTCTTGGGGGTATAACCTCCATTCCTTCCACTGCACTTCAGCATCTTCTTTGATCTCCATGGGGGAATGTAAAGCATTTCTGATTTCTTTTGAGAGATGGCAATACTGACAAAAAAAATTGTACCTTCTCGATCCCAGATTCTCTATCCTCCTCAATTTGTAGGACAAGGTTATGGTTGGGGAAGGGAGGGAGACCTAGACACCCTGTGCTGGAATGCCTGGGAGCCTGAAGAGAAAAGATTTTCTGCCTAAGTAAACCTATCTGCTAGTCTCAAAACAAGCTGGAGTCTAGAGACAGGATAACTTGCAAATACCGGCCCCTCACAGTACCACCTAGTGGATAATAAGAAACTAACACATGGGTTCTGAGCCCCTAAGGGTAAGCTGATTCTAAAATAACTCACTTCCAGATCCCTAGAATCTTTACTATTTACACATTAGTTGGAATCATCTGCAAGGGGGAAAGAATTGCCAAATAAACAGTAAGATAGCCTCAAGAGTAAGAAGTAAGAGAGAAGCTAATTTACTTTTCCATAAGCTACAAGAGCCCATTGGGGAAATAATTAAACTAGTATCCTTCTACCCCATCCATCCCAAATACAGAGACTAGAGAGAGAGTGTGTGATGATGCCCTAGCCCCTTACTATTGATTTTTATTAGTGGCTTTCAAATTTATTTTCCTGCAAACCAAGGTAAGAAATGCATTTTATGATCTCACTCAACACTGATATAGTGATATACATATACTCTGAAACAAAATTATCCTGAGACATATTTACTCCTATTAAGCATCAGTCTTTGCTATTTTCTATTCTACTCCATTTAGAAATATCACTAGTGGGGTGCCTGGCTGGCTCAGTCGGTAGAGCATGTGAATCTTGATCTCAGGGTTGTAAGTTCCAGCCCCACGTGGGTGTAAAGATGACTTAAAAACAAAATCTTGGGGCACCTCGGTGGTGCATTCGGTCATGTCCAACTCTTGGTTTTGGCTCAGGTTGTGATCGCAGGGTCATAAAATTGAGCCCCACCTCTGTCTCTGCGCTCAGCTCAGAGTCCACTTGAGACTCTCTCTCTGTCTCTCTAAAATAAATAAATCTTTTTTTAATTTTTTTTAAGATTTTATTTATTTATTTGACAGAGAGAGAGATAGCGAGAGCAGGAACACAAGCAGGGGGAGTGGGAGAGGGAGAAGCAAGCTTCCCGCCGAGCAGGGAGCCCGATGTGGGACTCGATCCCAGGACCCTGGGATCATGACCTGAGCCGAAGGCAGACGCTTAACAACTGAGCCACCCAGGCGCCCAATAAATCTCTTTTTTAAAATACTTTATTTTGAGAGAGAGAATGCGCAAGCGGGGGAAGGAGCAGAGGGAGAGAACCTCAAGCAGACTCCGTGCTGAGCAGGGAGCCCAATGCAGGGCTCCATCTCACAACCCTAAGATCATGACCTGAGCTGAAACCAAGAGTTGGGCACTTAACCAACTGAGCCACCCAGGCGCCCCTAAAATAAATAAATCTTTAAAAAAAAAAAACTTGAGGAACAAAACACACTACTAGTCACCACTTTCTAAATCGATTTCATGACCCACATTTTGAAAAACACTAGTTTATGTGCAAATTTTCATCCTATATCAACACTAATTTTTTTGTAAGGAAAGGTGCCCCTACAGAATTTTTTTTTTTTGCCCCTACAGAATTGAAAGCAAACTCACCATATCCCTTTCGTGCTGCCTGCCATGTTTGCTCTCCCCTACCTGCCTTTCTTGAGATGTGAGTCATAATCTTCAAAATCCAACACCACCATTAAGTCTTTCCATTCCCCCAATTAGAAGAAATGGTTTTTCTTTTAGTTATCCCTCAAAACAGTGCTGTCTAGCACTTAATTAAATCTGCCTAGTATTAGCGAATTATACAACTTAATAGCTTCCTTAAATGAAGGCTCTACAGTGTATTCATAATTGCATCCCTCCAGACTGACACAATGACTAACAACATGGCCCAACAAATATCAAAATAAACTTTAATCAAACTACTTAAGATCCAGGAAATTTAAAGGTTTATTGTGGCATACCCTTCTGCAAATCAATTAATCATTCCTTAATAATAGTTTTTATAGATTCCTCTAAAACACCTGAACTTGTAAAACATCAAACATCTATATATAAGCCAATTAAGTCATATTTATAAAATCTTTACAATTGTGCAGGGGTCCTACACAAGGGAACTCAGGCTTTTAGTCTCACACTGAGGTGCCCAGGCAAGTCCTCATTAACTGAGCTCAGCTGTTCGAAGCACAAATTATCCGTCATCTTCTGTTTCTACACATGGCTTGTGGCCTTATTTATTCAATTATTTGAGAATTTACTACTTGGGGTACTGGGATGCACTGATGATAAACAGTCCCAGGGCTCAAGGAGTGCAGTGCTCTATTTTTTTAAGATTTTATTTATTCATTTTGAGAGAGAGACAGAGCATAAGCAGAGGGAGAGGGAGAAGCAGACTCCCCGCTGAGCTGGGAGCCCAACATGGGGCGCGACCCCAGGACCTGGAGATCATTACCTGAGCCAAAGGCAGACACTTAACCATCTCAGCCACCCAGGCGCCCTGGAGTGCAATGATCTAATGAGGAGGAAGAGGGCTAACAAGTAAACAAGCATAACAACGTGATGTAATAAATGTCATTACAAACCTAAGTAAGGAAGCAAGTTTAGAGAGGCACCTAAATTAATATTTGAGTGTAATGGAAGTCTTCCTAGAGAGGATGACATTGAGATCCAAAGACTAAGGAAGAGTATTATAGGCAGAGGGACCCGTAAGGGCAAATGACTGAAGGTCAGAGAGAATATGGCTCATTCAATGAAAAAGTAGTCAGTATAGTTGGAGCGGTTTGGCCAGAGTTGAGGAATGGCAAAAAATGAGGCCAGATTGTGTGGGACCTTATGAGTCAGGCTAAGAACTTGGAACAACTAAGACAGTTCATTCCAGGGGACCATTGGTCTCTACACTAGCAGCTGGATAGAAAGAAAGCTTGTGATAAGTTGGGGGGGGGGTGAATCGCATATGCAAAAATTAAGTGACAGCTCTTTTTGGCGTAAATGCCTCTTTTTTTAAAAAACAAAGATTTTATTTATTCATTTGACAGAGAAATACACAGCGAGAGAGGGAACACAGGCAGGTGGAGTGGGAGGGGGAGAAGCAGGCCTCCTGCTGAGCAGGGAGCCCGATGCGATGCGGGGCTCGATCCCAGGACCCTGGGGTCATGACCTGAGCTGAAGGCAGACGCCCAACCATCTGAACCACCCAGGCGCCCCAGTAAATGCCTCTACTTGTATTAGTTTGTCCCACAATGCCATCTTGGGGTGGCATCTGAGATGGTAAAATCTCAAAAGAGCTTCAGAAAGAACCAGTAAGGGAGGTACAAAGGCCCCATTGCTATGCAGCATGAGAATAAGACACATGTAAATTAACATGTGAAATTAATGTTCTAAGTTGTTCTAAGTTTCATTTTATTATAACCTAATTACTATTCACTTAAGTCTGAGCAAACATGTATAGAAACCAGTGTTGCTAATTGAGTCATACACTCACAATTTTTTAAAAAATTAAAAGAAGTAGGGGCGCCTGGGTGGCTCAGTTGGTTAAGCATCTGCCTTTGGCTCAGATCACGATCCTGGAGTCCTGGGATCCAGCCCCATGTTGGGCTTCTTGCTCAGCCAGGTGTCTGCTTCTCCCTCTCCCTCTGCTCCTCTCCCTGCTCATGCTTGTGCTCTGTGTCTCATTCTCTCAAATAAACAAAATCTTTAAAATAAAGGGGCACCTGGGTGGCTCAGTTGGTTAAGCGGCTGCCTTTGGCTCAGGTCATGATCCTGGGGTCTTGGGATCGAGCCCTGCGTCTGGCTCCCTGCTCGGCGGAGAGCCTGCTTCTCCCTCTCCCTCTGCCTGCCACTCTCCCTACTTGTGTTCTCTCTCTCTCTCTGTCAAATAAATAAAATCTTAAAAAAATAAAATAAAATAAAATAAAAGTAATATTACTCCCAACACTTGTCTTCCTGTACCAAACTGAAGGAACTAAAACAACTGCTAGAAGCCCAGAAGCTGAAAAGAGAGGGACAAAGCCAGACATGTTGTCTACTTGAGTTTATTCTGTTCTTTAAAAAAAAAAAAAAAAAAAAAGGTGAGGGATGGAGGGAGAAATAACCCATAAACACTGTGAACAGGAACCGAGACTCCAAGACTTGGGTGTACTCCCCCTACCCTCGACCTCAGTTCTGCAAGAGATTCCCACCCACCCAATCTTCTTTTCAACAAGACACCCAATCAGCAGCAAAGGTACCTGGGGTAGTCACTGAGATTTTCAACACTGGGAATGGGAGGGAGAAAAGTCCAAAAAATCGGAGTCGGGAAGAAGAGGGAAGGAATGACAGCGAGGCTCGGCTCTGGAGGACGGAGTTGGGCCAGGAGAGGTGGGAGTCAGTACGGGGGTACCCCCTCCGGACCGAGGCTGCCCACATTCCCCAGGACCCCAGAGCGCCCCCTGGTTTGTTCTGCAGTCCATCCCCCCCTCCCCCAAGGCCTCACAGGCCCAGCTCCAAGTCCTCGAGCTCCTCCTGTAGTGCCCTCCTCCTCGCTAGCTTCTCCAGCTGCTCTTTGCTGGGCTGGCTGATTGCCCCAGCCTGGATCCGCCGCTGCAGCTCTTCCACCTGCCGAAGCTTCTTCTTGAGGCTCTTGATCTTCTTGGCCTTCTCGGTGGTGACGGCTGAGTCAGGCTGCTCAGAGGCAGCTGCAGGGGCTGCCCGGGAGCCCTGCGGAGCACTGGCGAGCTGGGCAGTCTCTCCCAAAGACACCTTATCGAGAGTCCGGCTCAAGGCCTCCGCCTCCCCCTTCTCCTGCTGCTGCCGCCGCTTCTCCTTCCGCTTCAGGTTGCGTTTGGCCGCCTTGGAGAGGCCTGGTTCGCCCCCTTCAGGCCTGGACGGGGTGACAGGAGCAGTGGCCTCAGGGCTCAGACCCGGGGGCAGTTCTGGCTTACTCTTGAAAAACTTCACATACTTGTTCTCATACCTGCAGGGAAGAGAGGTCAACAGGTCTCAAAGAATCACTGCCTTTTGGAACCCTTTTCTTAACCTTCCAAATCACTTCAGCCTTTTCACTTTCTTGCTTCTTTCCTCTCCTGTGGTCCCTCTGCAATTTGCCCCTGTTCTGCAGGCTATGGGAAGGTCTCTAGGTCTCAAAGTTCCTGGTCTCTGAATGCTATTTGGAGGTTCTGCAGAACAGAAGCCATAGGAACAGGACTAGCCATTTGTAACCCCCCTCCCGCATCCCTGAATCTCAGCCCCCCTCCTCTTCTTTTTCAGATAGTTGCTCCCTCCTTCCATTTCCTAGGGTCTTGGGATCAGGAGAGTCTTCTTTTCTGTAGGGACCCCATTAAGTACCCCCTTCTCACGCCTAATCACGCACACTGGGACTTCCTCCTGGGGCACATAGCCTTCTTTCACCCTCCGTTGCTTGCGCCAGGTCCCGTCAGGTCGTTGTGTTGAGGCGATGTATTTGCCTGCAATGAGAGAATTAAGTTACATAGTTACTCTTCCTAATTTTCAAATAGTTTCCAATTTGAAACAATGCATGAATGCACACAGCTTTCCTTAGCATCCATCCAGCCACTAGATGCAACCATGAAGGCATCCTTTTCTCTCATCAACCTTCAATCCCTCTCTTGTCATTTATTCACTGAGTGCCCAAACACCACCCCCACCCTCAGGAGTTTCTTTTTTTTTTTTTTTAAGGATTTTATTTATTTATTAGAGAAAGAGAGCACGCGTGCGCACCGGGGGAGGGACAGAGGGAGAGAATCTTCAAGCAGACTCCCTGCTGAGTGCAGAGCCCGGTGCGGGCTTGGTCTCACGACCCTGAGATCATGACCTGAGCCGAAACCAAGAGTTGCACGCTTAACCAGCTGAGCCACCCAGGCCCCCAGGAGTTTCTATTTTTATACTATTTTCTACTTTTAATCTCTAGCTGGCAAGATAGGACAGGCAAAGAGGAAGAGTTTAAAAAAAAACAACAACACAAGACAATAGCATGGGGGCATCAAAAGGCAGTAACTGAATAAGAGGCCAAAAGGGGGCAAAAACAAGAACTGTAGGAAGGAGAAAGGACTGGAGATGTAGAGAGGGGAAGTTCTATTAAGATAGGTCATGAAAAACAGGTCAACTTTTAAGGATCCATCCTACGAATATAAAAGCACCAGTACACAGGATATATGTAAAGGATGTTTGTTGCTGCATTACTTAAAATAGGAAAAACCGAAAGCAACTTGGATGGCCATCAATATCCGAGTGCCCGAATACATGTGGATCATCCACATGATGGAACACCATGCTGTTATGAAAAAGAATGTCAAGATATAAATGCACTGACTCTGGCTTGAATGGTGCTCATGATATACTAAGTGAAAAAGCAAGTGGCAGGACAATGTGTAGAGTAGTGATCCTCAAAGTTTTTTCTTTCAGGATCCCCCTTTCGCTCTTGTTTTGTAATATTATCCATTTTACTATGCAATATTAAAAAAAAAAAAACCAGCGGCCTTGCGTGGCTCAGTTGGTTAAGTGTCCAACTCTTGGTTTTGGCTCAGGTCATGATCTCAGGGTCGTGGGATGGAGCCATGCGTCAGGTTCCATGCTCAGCAGGGAGTCTGCTTGAGATTCTCTCCCTCTGACCCCCCCCCAAAATAAATAAACCTTAAAAAAAAAACAAACAGGCTGCCTGGGTGGTAGTCAATTAAGCATCTGACTCTTTTTTTTTTTTAAAGATTTTATTTATTTATTTATTTGAGAGAGAGAGCATGAGAGGGGGGAGGGCCAGAGGGAGAAGCAGACTCCCTGCTGAGCAGGAAGCCCGATGTGGGACTCGATCCTGGGACTCCAGGATCATGACCCGAGCCGAAGACAATCACTCAACCAACTGAGCCACCCAGGCGCCCTAAGCATCTGACTCTTGGTATCAGCTCGGGTGGTGGTCTGGGGGTTAAGAGATCAAGCCCCTGCATCAGGCTCAAAGCTCAGCTTGGAGTCAGCTTGAGATTCTCTCTCCCTCTGCTCCTCCTGCTCATGCTCACTCTCTCTCACTCTCTCTCTCTCTCTCTCTCAAAAATAAATAAATAAATCTTTAAAAAAATAAACATACCTGTTAATCTCACCAGAAAAGTATTTACTGGCAAACTGTCAAGCTCACAGTGGCAAATACAAGTTTTCCAGAATTCTAATTTTCTTGAATTTTACCACTGGCAACAAATACTGTCAGTTGTTTTCCTTGAAATGACAGGCTCACTTCCCTCATTTTCAGGAAAATGTCTATCAGATACCCAGTTCTCAATTATGAGTTTGTCAGCAGTTCTTATACATAAAAATGGTGTTCCGTGAAAAGGAAGCCTGTTTAGCTTGCAACTGGTGGACAACTGCGCCAGTGCTTTTCCTTAAGACCCCACCTTACTTCAGTATGCAGCCGAGTGTTTCATCCTCACTTCCCAGTTAGTCCACAGAGAACATTAAAAAGATGAGTAACTTTCAGTTATAAAATGAGTAAGTTCTGGGGAATCTAAGGTACAGCACGGTAACCATCATTAACAGAACTGTATTGTATACTTGAAAGTTGCTATGAGAGTAGACTTTAACAACAACAAAATGGTAATTATGTGAAGGATGTGTTAATTAACCTTATTGTGGTAAACATTTCACAAACTACACATGTATCAAATCGTCACATTGCACATCTTAAATCTATACAATGTTATATATCAATTATATTTCAATAAAGCTGGAAAAAAGTAAAAAGATGTGTATTCAAGGGCCAGGGTTTAATAAAATTAGTAAATCTTAGTGTTTAATCAAGGATATTCTTTTTTTTTTTTTTAGATTTTATTTAGGTGACAGAGATATAGAGAGAGAGAGCACAAGCAGGGAGGAGAGGGAGAAGCAGGCTCCCGATGAGCAGGGAGACCGACGTGGGGCTCAATCCCAGGACCCACGATCCAAGCCGAAGGCAGACACTTAACCAACTGAGCCACCCAGGCACCCCTAATCAAGGATATTAAGTGAAACTGGCATTATTTACTGCAAGCATGTGGCAGTGAAGAGCACAATGAGTGGGAGCTGGTGTAACTACCTTGATTAGTGCTAAGGGGCCTGCAGTTCCGTCCGCCTTTGCTTTTACACCCTCAGAGCAAATGTCAACCCAGCAAAACAAGGCAATCAACATCTTAGTATATAATAAAAATAGTTATCCTTGCAGACCTCCTGAAAGGGTCTTAGGGAACCTCCAAGGGTCCTGGACAACATTTTGAGAACTGCTGCTGTAAGGTATGCTCCCAGTCTCGTTGGGGCAAGGAGCAGCACTTAATAGTTCATACGGTCTATGCAGTGGGGCAAGGAGAAAGGTGTGGAAGGACACATACCAAGGTACCAAGCCTTTAATGCTGGTTATCTTAAGAGGGGCAACCTGGAAGAAGAGGTAATAGAAACCATTAACCATTAACATATATACTTTCTGCCCTCATAGATATCTTTATACCATTAATATGTTTTTAAAAATCTTATATATACCTATATTATCTTGTATTATGTGTTGTTTTGTTTTTTTAAGTAGGCTCCACACCCAACGTGGGGCTTGAACTCAACCCTGAGAGGAAGTCACAGGCTCCATCAACTGAACCAGCCTGGCGTCCCGTGTACTACTTTTTTTTTTCTTTAAGTATTACTTTTGTAAAAAGAAAGACAGATTTGTAAAAGAAAAGTAAAAAATCAAGTCTAGAGGCGCCTGGGTGGCTCAGTCGGTTAAGCATCTGCCTCCAGCTCAGGTCATGATCCCAGGGGCCTGGGATCGAGCCAGAGCCCCATGTCAGGCTCTCTGTTCAGCAGGGAGTCTGTTTCTCCCTCTCCCTCTCCTTGCTGTTCTCCCTGCTTGTGCTCTCTCTGTCAGATGATTAAATAAAATCTTTAAAAAAAAAAAGTCAAGTCTAAGTCCTTCCATATAGATTATATATTGTTCTATGAATTGGCTTTTTGTTCAAAATGCAAGTATCATTAATAAATTAAAACTAAAAAAAATTGTTAAAGAAAATGGGTAAGATCTGACAGGTAGAAGAGACTGGACAAAGAACAAGCAAGCAAAGAAAGGCATGGATGTGGGAAGGGGCGTGGAGTATTGAGAGAACAAAAAGAGGAGTCTGGGTGAATCAGACAGTTCGTGTTAGGGAATAATAAAAAAATGGGGCCAGATCTTGGAAAGCCTTCAACACAACATTGAGAAATTTGAAGTTTACCTGGTGACTGAAAGAGAGGCACTGAGGGTAACACTTGCTTAAATGCAACAGTTTAAAGACAAGAGTATAAACTGAAGAATGAAAAAGGTGACACTTCATAGAGGGAGGACTGACTGGAGCTGGGCTTTAAAGAGTCAAACTCATGTAAGTAAACAAGGAGGCAGAATGGATTCGAAATAGAAGCTCATCCTGAAACAAAATGTCACCCATGGGAACGGAGATGGCATGTTCAGGAGATGGTGGCTGAATCAGAGGGCTGGTGTAAAGCAGATGAGGGGGGTGGACATTCAGACCTTTAAATGCCAGCTAAGGAGTTTAATATCTGGCACATGGTATGCATTTAATAAATATTTGTCCAATGAATGACTCTTTTATCCAAAGCAGTGTTTTAGGGCAATTAATCTGGCAGGATGAAAAGGTGAATTGGCAAGGGAAAACACTAGAGACTCAGGAAATCAGGGGAAAAAAGGGTGCAATGACCCCGGCATGAGACACAGAACTGGCTGAACTGGTGAGAAGGGAAAAGGACGAGACCCATGCCAGATCCATTATCAAAGAATCAACAACACCTGGGAAGTCACTGATGTGGGAGGGGTAAGGGGCTGAAGTAAAAAATAATTCAACACTTTTAGTAATTCCAACCTTGAGAATTTAGCATAAGGAAATACTTCCAACAGAAAAAAATAAAAACAAAAACAAGAAAGGGATGGGACGCCTGGTTGTCTCAGTCAGGCATCTGCCTTCAGCTCCGGTCATGATCCCAGGGTCCTGGGATCGAGTCCCATGGCAGGCTCCTTGCTCAGCGGGGAGCCTGCTTCTCCCTCTGCCTGCCCCTCCCCCTGCTTGTGCTCTCTCCCTCTCTCTCTCTGAGACAAATAAATAAAATCTTTTTAAAAATAAAATGAGTGCTGCAGAGATTAATTCTAAAAAAAAGAAAAAAAGAGAAGGGAGAGATAATCATGGGAAAATTATGGCATTATCTATAAAGAGCTAAAAATTAAAAACAAACTTCAAGTCCAGATATATAGGAACAGTGTAGAACACATCCACTAAAAATACATCCAGCACCTGGCTGGCTCAGTCAGAAGAGTGTGTGACTCTTGATCTCGGGGTGGCAAGTTCAAGTTCCATGTTGGGTGTACAGATTACTTAAAAATAAACTTCAAAGAGACATGATATAATTTCAAGGAATGATAATAAAATTTTAAATCACATAATGTGACATAATGTGAAACATAATAAAACTATATAAATATACCAGGATTTCAATTATTAAATGTTTTGCATATTTTTAAGTTTAGAAAAGAATGTGCAATATGAAAAGGTGTCAGGTGATGATTATAAATAATCTTTTTTTTTTAAGATTTTGTTTATTTGTCAGAGAGAGGCAGGCAGAGATGTAGACTCCCCACTGAGCAAGGAACCAGATGCGAGTCCTAGGACCATGGGATCATGACCTGATCCGAAGGCAGACGCTTAACCGACTGAGCCACCCAGGCGTCCCATAATCTTTCTTTTTAAGAATGCCCACTAATGTTGTTATATTGTGCGTTTTAAAAATATCTCATTTTAAGGGCACCTGGCTAACTTAGTCAGTGGAGCGTACAACTCCTGATCTCAAGAGTTGTGAGTTCAAATCCCATGTTGGGTGTGGAAATTACTTAAAATCTTTTTTTAACTTTATATTCATTTGGTTGGTTTTTTTTTTAAGATTTTATTTATTTGAGAGAGAAAGAGCACGCCTGAGCAGGGGGTGGGGGAGGGGCAGAGGGAGAGGGAGCAGCAGACTCCCTGCTAAGCAGGGTGCCCCATGGGGCGGAGGGAGGTGTGCATCTTCATCCCAGGACCCCGAGACCATGACCTGAGCTGAAGGCAGGCATTTAACCAACTGAGCCAGCCAGGCGCCCCAAAAATAAAATCTTTAAAAAAAAAAAAAATCTCATTTTAGGTTTCAAACCTAAATCGTTTGGAGAAGGGGTACACAACGGAGAGTGAAATTACTTTTGACCTGGTGATTTATAAAGATTTTGTGGAGGACAAACAGACTTGTTGTGATCTTTGGAAGATGAGCAGGATTTAGACAGGTGGAGGTGGGGGGGGGGAGTGTAGTTACGAGAAAAGACAAAAAAGGGAAGTATTTCAGGCATACGGGACAACACAAAAGGACCAATCAGACTAGTAAGGACCCTGCTCAAAATTCCTTCTGGATTCCTATTGCCCTCAGGGTATTTACATGGAGGACGGGACTACACACAAAAGGCCTTGCTAGTCTCCAGTCTCTCAGCACTTAGTCACTCACACTCTGCTCCAGCCACTGAATATTCACAAATCTTACCAGACCTGTGTCTCTATTCTCTATGCCTTTTTGCTTTTGCTTCCTTTGGCCTGGAATAGACTTTCCTTGATTCTTAGCTTAGTTAATTCCTATTGGTCTTTAAAGGTCAAGTTCAAGTATAAACTCCTCAGTGAGGTCTTCCCTGACCTTCCCACCCCAAGCCAGGTTAAAAGTAGCCCTTTGTGCACAGCACCTGTTCTGGCCTTTATCATGCTCTCATGTTTAACATAATTGTGTACTTCCTTGAGAGCAGAGACTTTGTCTTTGATCTCTGAGGCAAAGGGCCTGGCCTATAGAAGGCTGTAATTAACTCAATAATAAATAAAGAGGGTCACCTGCCTGGCTCAGTTGGTAGAACATGGGATTCCTGATCTCGGGATTGCAAATTCAAGCCCAACATTAGGTATAAAGATTACTTAAAAATAAAATCTTTAAAAAAAAATGTTTTCTTTTAAATAAATAAGTAGGGTGCCTGGCTGGCTCAGTTGGTTAAGCGACTACCTTCAGCTCAGGTCATGATCCCAGAATCCTGCGATCGAGTCCCACATCGGGCTCCCGGCTCAGCAGGGAGACTGCTTCTCCTTCTGACCCTCTCCCCTCCCATAAAAATATATACATTAATTAATTAATTAATTAAAGCATCATATTAGAGAACAAAAACCTAGTATATTTAGGGCAAAAAGCACATGTAATGGGAAAAGAGACTAGAAGTAAATTAGTCAGGATATGAAAGGTATCCAATCTCCTCTTGAGTTTGTACTTAAGCTTCAGACTGTGGGAGAACACTGAAGGCCAAAACCAGAGTACAGAGGATCTGCTCAAAGCAGTGCTTGAGGATTAACCTCAAAATGTATAATAGAAACTAAAAGTAGAACAAATGAAAATAACAACCACCATAGAGAAAAACTGATTTAAATAGTCTCTATGGGTACTGAAAGGAAAATGAAAGAGAAATTCATTATGAAGAAGTCAACAGGACCTGAAGACTGCCAAGATTTGAAATAGACGAGATAATTGAAACAGTGCTGTAATGGGTTTAATCTGGTGCTTTTCACATGTATTCTCTTATTTTTCACAACATAACTGTGGGTAAATTGGGCATATGGTAATAATATTTATTCACACATGGATTTTAAATGTTTATTGAGCACTGGGTGTTGCGCCAGGCACTGTAACAGGAGCTAGGGATACAACAATGAATAAAGCAAGCACGGGTATTGCCTTTTTGTATCACGCATTCTAGTGAGGAAGAAAGGAAACAAAAAAGAACACAAACTAATTACAGTATCACTCGTGAATGTGCAAAATTTGTAGGATAAAAATCACTGACACAAAGAAAATCCAATACCTGAAGCTAATACAACCCTGTATGTTAATTATACTGGAATTAAAACAAAAACCACCACCACCACCATAAAGAAAGTCCAGAGAAGATGACAACTTTGTGAAAATAACTAATTCAATTCTAGACAGGGAGTGTTTTACATGAAATTAAGGAGAAAAGGACAATGCTAGAAACATAAATAAGATAACTGCACAAAGATTATACCTCAAGGCTTAAGACTAGTAAAGATGGAACATGATTAAAGACGGGCAGAAGCTTCTTGAATGGCCATCCTAACTGGAAGCCCTGAGATGCAAATAGCCCATTATCACAAAGGAGCACCTATTTTATGTTCTCTTGGTTCCATCCTCTGGCCTTCATGGTATCCAAAGGTAAAGTCAAAATGAAGGGAGTGGTTTGGAGATTCCTACCCCTAGAAATAAAAACCAAGGGCAGGATATCAGGATTGTCGGTAACCCCCTTGAGAAAGAAACTACAGATTAGAGACTGCTACTGTAAGAACTTGGTAAATTTAGCTATTTTCCCACATCTGCTGTTTTGTAATCCTTAATCTGTTGCCTTAAACTGTAAAAGGGCCTTGTTTTCGGGGTGGCAGGGACATAGTGAAGCAAGCAAGGCCTGGGAGAACTCTAAGGGGTTAGGTGGAAGTGACTGTTAAAGGTGTGTTGAATCCCTGTGACCTGTTTCAAGTAAGAAAGGAGATCTGTGTGACAAATCTGAGCCTGGGATGATCTCAGGGCCAAGAATTATAACACCAAGATGTGGTTTCTAATACTTGGAGAAAATATAGAAAGAGAAGATCCAATATGGAGACATGACCCTGGAAAAATGGTCATGATCATCTTCCTCAAGAAAGAAAAGGTGTCAGCAGTAACAGAAAACAATTCTAGGAGAGAAGAACTAGGACGGTGTTATGCCATGGAGACCAAAAGAGTTTTAAGGGTAGCTGATTAAGGGTATTGAATAATGCACAGAGATTAAAAGGAAAATGGAGTAGAAAAAGATTACTGATTTTGGCAATTTGGAAATTTCTAGTTATCTCCAAGAATACAGCTTCAGAAAAGCAGAGTAGTCAGAAACCAGACTACAAATAAATTAAATGTAATAAACACTTATTGAAAGCTTCCTATGAGGGGCGCCTGGGTGGCTCAGTCATTAAGCATCTGCCTTCGGCTCAGGTCATGATCCCAGGGGGATCGAGTCCCGCATCTGCCTCCCTGCTCAGCGGGGAGTCTGCCTCTCCCTCTATTCCTCCCCCTGCTCATGATCTCTCTCTTGCTCTCTCTCAAATAAATAAATAATTAAAAAAAAAAAAAAGAAAGCTTCCTATGAGAAAAGTACCCTACTAAGTGCTATAGGGATTACCAAGAGGGAGTAAAATGGTCCCTACTTTAAAGCAATCTGGGCATCTGGGCATCTGGGTGGCTCAGTCGGTTAAGTGGCTGCCTTCGGGTCAGGTCATGATCCCAGAGTCCGGCTCTCTGTTCAGCGGGGAGCCTGCTTCTCCCTCTCCCTCTGCTGCTCCCCCTGCTTGTGCTCTCTCTGTCAAATAAATAAATAAAATCTTAAAAAAAAAATCAAGCAATTTATTGCCTAAGGAAGAGGGTGGACAAATTAGGCAAGGAATAAAACAAAAATATAAATGTCTTTGGTATCTTAAGAGACACTGATACATACTGGTACTAGATTTCAAGAGAATAAATAATCACACCCTATTTGATGGGGGAAGGTGACAGAAAATCAGGAGAATCTCAGGGACCTGACCTTAAATGCTAGGTAGCAGTAATAACAACAATAACAAATCAGTGGCTGGTATTTCTGCAGGCAGAGAAAAGAAGGGAAAGGACCTTCTAAGAGGAGTAACAACAAGCAAAATCATAGCAGTGGAAAACTCACAGTATGTTAAGAACAGTTAGAAAAGAGCATTTATTAATAAGTGGCTACAGTGCATCAGGAACTTTATATATATTGCTTTATTGAATCTAGACAATGGGTAGATATTATCATCTACAGCTGAGATTAAGAGTCTTCAAGAGGTTAAAGATGTGTCCAAGATCACAACGGCACAATGGTATTCTGCCTGTCTTATACCACATAGCCCAGTTTCACTGGGAGTTACAAGCAGAGACCTAGTATGTGGTGATACTATACCGAAAAGTGGTTTGTGCTCATATTAAAGAGTATCTAAAAGCGAATTTACATACGTAAATTTCACAATCAATTCCAAAAAGAGAGATGATGAGAAATTTAATAGCTTGCCCAAAGTTAGTCAATAAGCTGCAGAATTCAAACCCAGGCTGTGGGTTTATTCCAAAAGTTGTGCATTTTACACTACCATTGCATATAGTGTTATAAATGAAAAAGATACAAAAAAGTTCAACCTAATAATCAAAGAAAATATAAATATAAAACAATAAAATACAATTTCCATCTGTCAGAGTAGTAGAATTTTTGAAGATGAGAATACCAGTGCGGTCAAAGACGTGGTTAAACCAGCATAGTCATATATTGTTGGTGGTAAAACCCTTTAGAAAGCAATTTGGCTAACATAGCAGGACAATAAAGGCAGCCCTATCATTTCCCAGCATTTTCCAAAGCTTTTGTTATATAAAACACTACTTCCATAAGATATTAACAAAGGTTACCCCCAAAAATTGTTAAATAGTTTGGGCAATTCTGGGTTAAACACAGAAAAACAATTTTGTTTTTATCAGCAGGACTTAATGTGTTCTTATTCATGTGAATATCCACAATAGGAATGTGATTTACAGTCTTCCCAAATTTATTTGACCACAGGAACCTTATTTATGTTATTTATCTTGTTTTTACTTATTTTGTAGCACACCTCGTAGGACTACTAAGCATTCCAAGGATCATATTTTGGGAAATATAGCCATTTGGTATGATCCCAATTATGTAAAATATAGACATGCTACATATGTGTACAGAAAGAAAACCAAAAGGAAGTATAACTATAGTTACCTTTGGGTTCTAGAATATCAAATATGCGTGTGACTTATATTTTTTACTGCTTACAAAAACATTTTCCAAGGTTCCTACAATCAACATGAATTAACTTTATAATTAATAAGTCAATAAATGCTTGTAGCCTCTAACCCAGTAATTGTACTTCTGGGAACTCAATCCTAAGGAAATAACCCTAAATGCAGGCAAAAATTTATGCACAAAAATATTCATAGACGGGGTGCCTGGGTGGCTCAGTCAGTTAAGCAGCTGCCTTCGGCTCAGGTCAGGGTCCTGGGATCGAGCCCCGCATCGGGCTCCCTGCTCAGCGGGAAGCCTGCTTCTCCCTCTCCTGCTCCCCTACTTGTGTTCCCTCTCTCATTCTCTCTCTCTGTCAAATGAATAAATAAAAATCTTTAAAAAAAATATTCATAGAGTTCTTCTAACAAAAATCCTGGAAACAATCTAAAAGTTCAATAACAGGGATGCTTGGGTGGCGTCTACCTTTGGCTCAGGTCATGGTCCCAGGGTCCTGGGATTGAGTCCCACATTGGGCTCCCTGCTCAGCGCGGAGCCTGCTTCTCCCTCTCCCTCTGCCTGCCGCTCCGCCTGCTCGTGTTCTCTCTCTGACAAATAAATAAAATCTTTTAAATAAATAAATAAATAAATAAAATAGAACTTCCGTAACAGAAGAAACATAAGAGAGGGTGCGTGCCCAAACAATAAAACACTCTGCCAGGGGCGCCTGGGTGGCTCAGTCAGTTAAGTGGCTGCCTTCGGCTCAGGTCATGATCCTGGGGTCCTGGGATCGAGTCCCGCATCGGGCTCCCTGCTCGGTGGGGAGCCTGCTTCTCCCTCTCCCTCTGCCTGCCACTCTGCCTACTTGTGCTGTCAAATAAATAAAATCTAAAAAAAAATAAAAATAAAAATAAAACACTGCCAGTATTTTTTAAAACGTTTACAAAGAGTAAGGAAAAATATTTATGGCATAAGGTTAAATGAAAAGGCAAAATATAATTGTATATACCATCTAATTCAAAAATGTTTTAAAATGCACAGAAAAAATAAAGATCAGAAGGAAATGTGCCAAATTAAACAGTAGACTCTGGGTGAATGACTTATATTGAACAAAAATTACATACGTAAATCTGTACTTAAGAAACAGTAATCTGGCAACAGTGTGTCATATGAACTGGAACAGAGAGAGAGAATGGAGATAGGACAACTATTTAGGAGGTCACAGCAGTATTTTCAGGATAAAGGAAAATGGAATTTTATCAGGCATGCAGAATGAATCAAGTACTATGCTTGATACTTTGCATATATAATCTCTTCTGATCCATATCATTACATAACAGTAATAATTACAGAACCATTCGCTGGGCACTTTCTATGTATCAGAAATGTACATTCTTTCATTTAAATTTTAATTCTCAAATAATCCTATGTTGTAGGAGTTATTATTCCAATTTCATTGATGAGAAAACTAAAGCTTAGATTCCCAAGGTTTAAAATTCCCAAGGCCATCTAGCTGACAAATACTGAAGATGGGATAAGGATAATGGCAGTAGGAATAGAAAAATGACATTCTGACCACTGGTGTATGGCAGGGGATGGGGAATGAGAGGAATAAAAGATGATGCAACAAATACAACAAAAATACCTAGTGCTCTGATCTTGGTTTCTTGATACCATTCTCAAGTAAAAGAAACAGGGGCTCCTTGGAGAATGGCTGATTCTAGGACTGAGACAGGAAACAAAAAGACGAACCTGGAGCATCTTCTAGTGCCAGAAAGTAAGGAAGAGCTAAAAAAACAAAAACAAAAACCTACACTGTTGGGGGTATGTCAAAGGGACACAGGGCCAACTAAAAGAGCTCCCAATGTCCAAAGCTGGAACATTTGACCAATAAAATAAATAGTATAGGATTATAACCCAAAGTCCATATTGCTATAAATAAATGATTGAATAAATGGAAAAGAGACAAATCTGCAGAAAAATTCCAAATAAACGTATGTAAATACTCCATCCTTAAGGAAGGAAGTGTAACTTCCCACTCTTTAAGTACCAGCTGTGAATAGAGACTTTTATCTAGAGTACAGTATGGAAAAGAGAAGGATCAAAAGGGTAACTTTACAGCGGAGAAACCTTACAAACAATACTTCAGCCAGGTGATCAGGGTAAGAATCAACTGTAAAAAAATTATTATGATAGGTCCCTTGATATGATGAAAATGTCACTTTTCCTCTGAGGTTGTACCCCTAAAACACAACCCCAGTCTAATTATGAGAAAAACATCAGACAAATTCCAAAAGAGAGGCATCCTATAAAATACTTGACTAGTACTCCTCAAAACTGTCAAGGTCATCAAAAACAAGGAAAGTCTGAGAAACCGTCAACGGCCAATAGGAGCTTAAGGAGACATGAGAACTAAAAGTAACGTGGTATCTGGGATGGGAACCTGGGATAGAAAAGAAAGTTAGGTAAAAGCTAAGGAAATCTGCATAATGTATGGACTATAGTTAATAATAATGTATCAGGGGTCCCTGGGTGGCTAAGTTGGTTAAGCAGCTGCCTTTGGCTCAGGTCATGATCCCAGGGTTCTGGGATTGAGCCCCACATCGGGCTCCTTGCTCAGCGGGAAGCCTGCTTCTCTCTCTGCCTGCCGCTCCCCTTGCTTGGGCTCTCTCTCTTTTGCTGACAAATAAATAAATAAAATCTTTTAAAAAAAATGTATCAATATCAGTTCATTAATTGTAATAACTGTATCATACTAATGTAAGATGTTAATAGGAGAAACTGAGTGTAACGTATATGGGAATTGACTGTTATCATTTTCTCAAGTTTTCTATAAATCTAATACTGTTCTAAAAAATAAAGTCTATTTAAAATTAAAAAGAGACATGGTGCAAAAAGTTGATCTTGGGGGCGCCTGGGTGGCTCAGTCGTTAAGCGTCTGCCTTCAGCTCAGGTCATGATCCCAGAGTCCTGGGATGGAGCCCCACATCGGGCTCCCTGCTCGGCAGGAGGTCTGCTTCTCCCTCTCCCACTGCCCCTGCTTGTGTTCCCTCTCTCACTGTGTCTCTCTCTGTCAAATAAATAAAATCTTTAAAAGAAAAAAAAAGGTTGATCTTGGTTTGGCTAGGACAAGGGTGCCATTAACAGAAATAAGGAAGGAAAAAAAATATATTGATTTTGGGCAGATTGAATTTAAGGTGTGACAATATATTCAAGAATGAAAGTTATCCACCAATCAACTAGAAAAGGGAATTAGCAACTAAGAAGAGGCTGGCGCTGGAAACAAAACTAAAGAATTACGGGACAAATAAGCAGTAACGAAATGAAAACAGTATGTGTAGGCCTGTTATTCAAGAAATCAGGCTGTGAACAGAAAAGGGACAAAAATGATAGGCCTTGACTTTTCAATGAAATAGAAAGTGGGAAAAAAAAGTGAAGCCATCTGCCACAAGAGAGAGAATTAAAAGGGAGGGTCACAGAATGCTGGAAAAAGTTGGGGGAAATAGCCATGATAGAATATAAGCAAAGAAAAAAGAATTGGAGAGAAGCCGGGATCTTGGCAGAAGTTAACACTAAGTTATATTATACTGAAAGTGCTAGTTCTGAGCTTTTTCTCTAGCCATGTGCTATGGCCTAGACGTAGAAGCCAAGGAAATAGGTGATGGGTATGATTCAAGATAACAGAAGTGCTTGCTAAGTACAGAAGATCAAAATAAATGAAGAAAAGCAATGAAGATAGTATCAAAGTGGCTAGTCACCAAGGTCTAGCAGAGCAGCATCAAAGGTAGTCATGAAGGTACTGGTAGATGCGATGAAATGGGAAAGGTCAAGAACCTAAGAAGGGCACAAAGCAGATTCTGTGGATGTGAAATAGTGAAAAAGGTAACTGGTAAGGAGGCTAAAGTGATGGAGAGCACCTGAAAGGGAAGCAGTGTCACAGAGGAGGTCCCGGTTGTAGTGATTCTGATGTGCAGCTACTTTATTTTTTAAGATTTTATTCATTTATTTGAGACAGAGAGAGAGCAAGCAGGGGGAGGAGCAGAGGGAGAAGGACAAGCAGACTCTGCGCTGAGCCCAGAGCCCGATGCCGGGCTGGATCTCACAACCATGAGATCATGACCTGAGCTGAAACCAAGAGTAGGACGCTCAACTGACTGAGCCCCCCAGGCACCCCTGATATGCAGCTACTTTAAAAATACAAAGGAGGGGTTCCTGGGTGGTTCAGTTCATTGAGAGGCCGACTCTTGATCTCAGCTCAGGTCTTGATCTCAGGGTCATGAGTTCAAGGCAACTTAAGCTCCACACTGAGCATGGAGCCTACTTAAAAAAAAAAAATACAAAGGAAAATCAACCGTCTTGTGCTGAGGAACTATAAGATCAGAGTATTCCAAAGATGCTGGAGACACTGAGAATAAAAGCAAGAAACACAGTGGAGAAAAAAGTGTGATGCAATAGGTCTGGGCCCTTGTGGGCAATAAATGATTACCCTGAGGTTTTAGAGAAAATGCTATAATTGCATGGCAACACCTTCCACAAAGATTAGAGTGACAGTGGCAGGTCAATGATCTAGAAGTAAGAGAAAGCAAAAATGCAGTGTGATTCCTTCTCTTCTACATAGTCACAGAGCACTGAAGATACCTCTTAGTGGGAGGGTAGGGTGAAACATGGTATCTGGATTATCATGAAATCAGTTTAAAGAAAATAGTTAAAAATAAAGTGTACTGGATAGTGAGTAATATTTTCAAAGCACACATTAAAAGAAGCCAGTAGATGAAGGACCCACTGAGTAGAGAACAGGAGAAGAGAGGTTCTGTGTACCACTTTGAAATGTGAGGCTGGAGAGAAGTAGCAGAGACTTGGCTTGTCATAAGATACCATAGGAGAGGTGGGCTGAGATGTAAAGAACATGCAAAGTAGCAAAGCAAGAAGCATAAAGGGCACATTTTAAAACACACCATACACAGTCTCAGTTCTACAGAAGACTGCATGTATGCAGTGAAGACTACAAAAAACAGTAACGCCTTGTACATTTTATAAATTGCTTTAACATATGCAATCTTATTTGATCGTCACTAGGTAGATATTCCTATGCACATTTTTCTAAAGATGAGGAAATTACGATGGGACAAAACCAGAATGAAAACACTGACTTCGGTTTTCAACACATAAACCCTCATACACAGTGGACACTTCAGCATCTCAATCAGCCAGGCCAGAAATTCTTCTCTAGCCAGAAGTAATAGTGGATTCTATGAACTTGTCAGAGGGTTTAAGAGGCCACTAGACACCTCCTGTTTGCCTTCTTCCACCTCAGATCCCTCAACTTTTATCACCATCACCACCAGAGAAGGTACAGAAGGGTGATGCCATCAAGAAGAAAACTCAAGCTGAAAGTTATATTAGGTTCCTCTTCCCTTCACACCTCTGAACCTCAGTGACCCAAAAATGAAGATAAGGGAGAGAATGTAAAAAGCATTATATAGCAATGAAGAGGTCTTTAACCCACACAACTTCAAGAAAGAGAACTAAAAAGGAGCTGGGGTAGGGCAGAAGGCAGGTACAGCTGAAAGATGGGGGAGGGGAACAGGGGGAAAAGCTGGAATTGGAGGGAACTGAGAGTACAGGCGCTCCCAAGCCTGGAGAAACCGAAAGAGATATGGGATCTCCAGCTGCTGGAGAAAAGCTAAGGGCCCGTGAAGGTCCTGGAGCAGGGACTTGCACTGAAGGACCCCAGGGTTTGGGTGACCGGAAGCAGAGACCCCCAAACACGAGACCAGAAGGGGGCGCAGGTGACACCCCATAGGAAAGAATGAATGAGGAAGGCGGTCCGGAGGGCGGGGCAAAAGGAGGGGCCCCGGGATGGGCGGGGCACAGACCCCTTTCCAAGTCCGAACCCCTGCCCCGAGAGCCCGGGGAGAAGCGGCTCCGCGCCTCCCGCACTCACCGCCGGTCTCGTCAGTTACATAGGGAGTCGCCATCTTGAAAACGCAAACCACTTCCGGCGTGAGCGGGCTGGGGTCCCGCCCCCCTCCCCACCGGAAGTGGAGTCCTGATCGTAGCCAGCCACCATTTTAGTCTTAAAGGGAGAGTACACCATTTCGTGGACAGAGGTGGAGGAGGAAGGAAGCAGCAGCTAGACTTGAATAAAATAAAAGCCATAGGCTCTATTACTGCCACTGATACCAATATTGGGTGCCTGCTCCGTGTAAAGGAGTCCTCTGGGCGCCGAGAGAAGTTCCGAGGCACGGCCCCTCTCCGTTCGTCCAGGACCTTCGAGGGAAAAGGGGGCAAGGCCCACCTGCACCCGGAAAGTGGGGCTGATCAATGAGAATCTTCAATCCCTAGCCTGTACCCAGGTCCCAGAGCGGCTTGGGGACATGGGGCGCGCAAACTCCGGGAACGCACTGGGGCGCACCAATGTTGTCAGGGGTGAATGGAAGACCCCAACTGACCCTCTCTTAGAAGGTGGGGAGGTCGAAATCGCGTGTCGATTGCCCTCGGCTACCCAGCTCAACCCTCCGGACTGAGATCCGCGAGAGAGGCGTGCAAGGCAGAGGGTGCTGCCGGTCGGTCACCTGTCCCCGCAGCCTCAGGGCGGCTGGCGAATTCCACGACCAAGGAGGCGGCGGGCCGGGTTGGGCGGGCAGCCCTGGCTGGCCCTGCCCCTGGGGAGGCCCCGGGGATTCGGGCGGCGTAGTGAGGACGGCCCAGGTTTGCCGGCCTTCGACCCCCGGATCCTCCTCAGGCGGGGCACCAGGGTCAGAGGGCAAGGTGAAGGCTTCTGGGCGGAGCCAGTTAATATTCTAATGAACCTTGTCCAGGTCTGGGCGCTGGGGATCCAAAGTGGGGCAACTCGCCAGTAGTCGAGACTTACACGGTCACTCCCTTTGCAGTCCTGCCCTGCCCCGTGCCTCCTATTCTTTAGAGGAACCCAAATGTTTTCCCTCCCCCTGTCTTTTCAGCAGCTGTTGTTCCTTAAAGGCTAAGTCCTGCTGAACTTGTTTCCCCTACAGCCTGGGAGTGACCAGCTGCAGGTTTCTCTCCTCAGGTGTTGGCTCTGCCCTCCCCTACTACATTGTTTTTTCATTATTGATTGTTTTACCTTCCTCCAAATCCCCCACTTTGGCTTAGGTTAATGTCCAACTGTACCGCTGGAACCCGTAGAGAGGGGCAAGTATTAGTAACTACCTCTAACACTAGGCTGTATGTCCACTTAAAAAAATAAAAAAGGTGAGAGTAATGACTGACGAGGAACCTCCTAAAAGCTTTGACATGAAGCTTTTGAAGTTTTCTCAGGTCACAGCTTGTCTTCCATACCGTGCTCTACCTTCTTGACTTCCACCAGAGGCCCAACTCAGAAGGTCTCAAAAAGACTCATTTAAAAACTGATTTGCGGGGCGCCTGGGTGGCTCAGTCGTTGAGCGTCTGCCTTCGGCTCAGGTCATGGTCCCAGGGTCCTGGGATCGAGCCCCACATCCGGCTCCCTGCTCAGCGGGAAGCCTGCTTCTCCCTCTCCCACTCCCCCTGCTTGTGTTCCCTCTCTCGCTGTGTCTCTGTCAAATAAATAAATAAAATCTTAAAAAAAAAAACTGATTTGCATTCAATACACAGTTATTGCAAGTGTTTTAGCACTGCCATCCTTCACCCCTGCTCTCTTTCAGCAATTGTGCTTCAACGTCACTGAGTCAGCATCCTGTCCTTAGCCTTGTTACTAATGATTATTACAGGTGAGAGTGTGGGATGAAGCCTTTAACTAGAGGGATGCAATCGGACCTTTCTGTAAGAGGGAATCCTAAAGTGGCCCCTGTTGACCACCAACCCTAGGCCCTCCCCACTGTGCCCCCAGACATCTTGCCTCAGCTCTGGGTTTGACAGGAAGTGAAACTCAATTGTCTGCCCAGCAGACTTGCTGGGACCCAGCCCTGGGCCCCGGATGTGCCACCCCCCCCCCCCCACACACACACCCTGAGAATGAAGAGGAGAAAGAGGCTGGGGAGACAAGGCTGTTGTTTTTTCCTTTCCCTTTGTTCATTGCGGTTTCTTTCTTTCTGATTTTTATGATGTGGTTGATTAAAGAAATGAGCACCTGGAACAGTAGGCATTATACGCCTCCTCCTTCGATGTTTCTTGGCCTTTCTTCCCCTCCCACCCCCACCAATAACTGACGAGATATGATGGAGCACAGATCCTAAAGAAGACACAAAGAAGCCTAGAGTATGACTGATTTCATCCTATTCCTTAGAGAGATCACCCCGTGCCCCACTTTGAAGTCTCAAAAAAAAAAAAAAGTCTTAACAGGAGCAATTTAACTTCAATTAGAGACATATCCGAGGATGATGGAGTGAAAAACACAGGTCATAGGTAGGGTGGTATCACTGCTAGCATTGTTTGCAAGCAAAGCTGAGTGCCTTAGGCTTAGTATCATTCTAGATGAGAGGTCCAGGGGCAGAAAACTGGAAGAGCTGCTAGGAGACTTGTTCTTTCTTATATTGTATGTTTAGGATGGCTTAGAGTGGGGAGGCTTTACACACACACACACACACACACACACACACACACCCCAAGCCACTCTTTGGTACAGTCCTTAAGCGGGGCTATGTCTTTGGCTGTCTACAGAACTAAGCACAGGACCCGGTGCATAATGGGCCTTCAAAAGTGCTTATGGTTCCTTATGACTAAAGAGGTTATATAGGAAGGGGAAATAGGGGTGCCTGACTGGCTCAATCAGTGGGTGGAGCATGCGACTCGATCTAGTGTTGTGAGTTCAAGTCCCATATTGGGTGTGGAGATTACTTTAAAATAATAATTAAAAAAAAAAAAGGAAGGGGAGAAAAAGGATGGGGAGTAGCAGAACCCTTGTCTTTTTAAGACCGGGAGACAGGAGCAGAGAGACAGACCTTCTCCAACCCCTGCCTCCCTCAGATCTCCAGTTCAGGTGAAACAATACTCCCAAGCCCTATTACTCAGCAGCTACATTTCTGATAAAAATGGGAGAGTTTTGGGGCACCTGGGTGGCTCAGTCGTTTAGCATCTGCCTTCGGCTCAGGTCATGATCCCAGGGTCCTGGAATGGAGCCCCGCATTGGGCTCCCCGCTCTGCAGGAAGCCTGCTTCTCCCTCTCCCACTCCCCCTGCTTGTGTTCCCTCTCTCGCCGTGTCTCTCTCTGTCAAATAAATAAATAAAATCTTTAAAAAAAAAAAAAAAAGGAGAGTTTTTCCAACAAGCCTGTATGGAAACATTCGAGAACTGCTTAGATCCCTCTATTTCCACTAGAGGGCCTCATGTATTCATTCCTTCTCTCCAACCCCCATCAAAAGTATGTATATATTATGTGTGTGAGTATGCATATACACAACATACACACATCACACAGCACTCCCCTCCCCCTCTCTTCTACCACCAGGTAGAAGAGGGAAGATTCCAGGAACTCAAGCCCTGTTACTGTGCCCTACTTCAATGAGAGGTAGGAGGGGGTTAGCCTGGGTTGGGGCGGGGCCAGGGAGCAGGATGCCCCAGTCCCCAGTTCCTACCAGTAAGTCCTAGGTCTCTGTCTATCTCCCTTGTACTCACTGCAAGCCTCACCGTCATCCATGCTGCCCCAAGAGCCTTAACAACTTCAGAACAGATTCCAGACAGGAGGAGCTGAAAGGATCTTCTCTCACCCCTACTTTTGGCCAGGGCCTTTTACAGCACCTGCCAAGGCCAGCAGGTAAAGTGGGAGGGTTAGGGCATGGAGAAAGAGTGGACACAGACCAGAGTGCTCTTTGCACCTAAACAACCCCAGAATTAAGGGAAGGCCCCGAGTCTTGAGAGAAGGAGGTGTACTTACATTGGGGAAAACAGGTCTGAGCCGTCTGGGGTTTGGGTTTTAGGGAGGCGAGAAACCTAGAGGTAAAGGTGGGCCTCAGATAGTGTTAAGCACTGCGGAGCCCATGGGAGGAGGGAGGCATTTGTATCCCAAGATGCAGAGTCTGGGACTCTGGGCTTGCTGCTGTGGAATCTTCTGAGTATGAATTTGGTCAATGGTGGATGGAAAGGAGTTGGGAAGGAAAGTCCCTGGATGGCAGCAATTAGGAGAGGGTCAGACGTTGCCTCGGTGGGCCCCTGCCAAGCTGTGCCACCAGCGGCCCCGCCCTCTCTCATGACCTCCCACGGTTGGGATGAGGAGAGAGGCTGTGAGTGATTAGAAAGAAGGGAAGATGGATAGAAACCGAGCTATCCCGAGGCGGGAAGAAGATGAGAAGCGCAGAACGTGGAGAAAGTGGCGCAGACCAGAACCCTGGAGACATTGGGGAGGTTGGGGGCTCAGGCTTGGTGACCTGGAAACAGGGGCCTCTCCAGACTGGAGTTCCCGGAGTCGGGGGCGCGGGCACTGGGCGCGGGCGGGCAGCTCGGGGCGGGGGGCGGGCAGCTGTGTCGTCAGGAACGGGGCGGCCTCGCGGCGGCCGCGCCTGCCTGGTCCGTCCCCTCCAGGCCAGCTCGGGCTCCAGCTCCCGCGCCGGCGCTTCAGCTCCCACCGCGCGCCCTCCGCAGGCAAGGTAGAGACCCCGCGAGCCCCCCGCCCCCCGCGCCCCCCGCTCTCCACCCCCGGAGCAGGAGGGGGCGGGGGCCACGGGAAGGGCCGCCGCCGGGCTGGGGTAGGGCTGCCGGGCCGAGAAGGAGGAAGCCCGACAGCTGGAGCGGGTAGCTGGAAGGGTTTGCGCCCGGACGCGGGGGGCGGCGGGAGAGCTGGGCCAGAACTCCGGAGGCAGCGACTCCCCCTGCCTTCCCCTCCATTGGAGGGATGGTGAAGCTCGGCTCCTAGGGGCCCGAGTCAAGCAAAGTCCGTTTTGGAACCTCCACAGCGCTGCACGGGTGCAGAAGGGTTCTTCTTTGGCCTCCTGGTCCCCAACTTCCCACCCCTACCCTTTCCACACCTGTCACCAGGAAGTTTCTGAAACTACCTGGGTCTGAATCCCACTTTTCACCTCTAAATGGGAGAAATGAGCTTTATTGAGGAAGAAATAGGATTACTACTGGGCATCTCCTCAGCCTCAGATCGTATGAGCCCACATCCCCCAACCATGCCAACATCGTAACTTCTTCCTGTACTACACTCACTCACACACACACACACACACACACACACACCACACCCTTAATCAGGCAACATTACTACCTGCAATGTTTGTGGAGGCTTAGTGAATTTTGAGACTTCAAGGCAAATGATTCCCTCTGTGGGATCGGGGGCCACTGACTAGCTGCAGGCATGGGCAGGAAAGAATAGACCTTCCCTCAGTCCTGGGAAAGGGGAGGAGGATGCAGGCCCTGGTGTGATTAAGGGATTCAGAAGTCCTGGTAATCAGGCCTGGGCTTGCTTCTTGGGTTTCTTGCTGGGTCAGCCTGAATGTTCTGGGGGCATAGCAGATTCTTGAGTAATGGTAAATTTATATGACTTGGAATGGGAGTGACGAATGTTGAAGTGAAAAAGGACACTTTAAATGTTTGCATTGGCCTTGGAAATCGTATTTATCTCTTGGTTACCAGCAATTTTAGTATTTATTGTTTAAAATAAGATCTAGAAAACAGAGGCACTACGATTTAATGGAATGGACTAAAGACAGGATGTCTAGAGTCTGGGTGTGATCCTGAGATTGTGGCTCTCTGTCTGGGCCTCAGTTTCCTCCTCTGTAAAGTATGAGAGTTGGTACTTCCCAGCTCTGAGGATGTTCTAGGATTCTCTGCCCCCAAGTCAACTTCTTACTTTCTCACCTCAAGTTGGTAGGGGTGGGCAGGGAAGCCAGAGGAGGGAAAGGAAGGGTGAGTCACAGATAGCTGGCAGGCGGGCAGCAGACCCCACCCTCCCAACCCTGGCATTCGCCTGGACTAGCCCAGGTTATAGCCTCAGGGCTGGGATGGAGCAGGGAGGACAAAATTGGACTTGTTATGGTTCGTTAAGGTCCAGGATCCTAAGAGTTTATATGCCTTTCAGCAACAGGGGCAGCCAGACTTTCGGTGAGACAAGTCAGGAGGACAACTGAAAAGATACCAGGAGCCCTTATGTCCAAGGTCCCAGCCTAGAGGTGTCCTTGGACCTTGACAGTCTAGTTTCTAGCCACCTCCTCACCCAAAGGCAAAGTGCAGTATCCCAATACTACCTGTCTGTGCCTGAGATGACACAATGGGGGAAAGTGTACAACTGGGCTTCACTGCTGTTGGGAGTTCCTAGAACTGATGCCTTCCTGGCACCCTTTTTCCTCATCTCCAGATGTGTTTCTCTGTGTACCACCCTTGTATAACAGCAACAACAATAGCTAACATTTACTGAGTTCTTCCTCTGTGCCTTACAGCTGCTAAGTACATTGCGTATATTAGCTTACTTAATCTCCATGCTGTGACTGATTTCTCTAGGTACCCATTTTACCAATGAGGAAACAGGTTCAGGAAGATGAAATAACTCACCCAAGAGCTAGGATTCCAATCCATGCCTGTCTAATTCAAAAGCCCATTATCTTAACCTCTACTATAAATTACATGCAAGATCTGGGGGGCTAGGAGGGGTTGTTGTGAAAAGAGAGATGTGTCCTCTTTCCTGTTCATCGTCCCTCCTTTGCTCTTTCCTTGTCACTTTCTCTCCCAGATTTCATTTCCTAGAACCTTGGAGCCATCTAAGAATCCCCAGGGGTAATCAGAGAGCCTAATTAAGCCATACAGGCCCAATTATCCCTAAGGCTATTATGTATTCATTAGATCTGTTGGCAGTAGAAGTTGGATTATAGTCATTGAAAAGAGCCAGATGGGTGGAGTCCTTTCTCCAGAATATCAGTGTCCCAGGATCCCCTTCTTAGTATTCCTAGAGAGCCCCCAGAAGAGGAATGGTATACTACATAGATGTGGACAGCAGAGATGTCCCAAGGGCAGAGGCTGCAAAGAAGATTCTTGCACCATCAGAAAGGAAATTCTTGTAGGCCCTAACTGACTCCGTGAGCCTTACCCAACAAACCCTAAACAAGTGGGCAAAGGGGAGGCAGAAGCCCCAGATGGAGTGCGATAATAAGTGCATTTTAGCAAAATTCATTCATTCAACAAATATTTAGCACCTCCTGTGTGTGTTCCAAATTGTTTCCTCTTCCCCTGTCAGGACGGATACTCTGGCATCCCATTTAACCATATTTGGACTAATATTTTCCAACCTATGGCTCCTCCCTAACTTTGCACAACGATTTGTACAAACAATATGGAGCACCTACAACACACTGGGCACTGTTTTAGGTATTGGGATATAGTGGTGAGCAATACTCACAAGTTCCTGCCCTTGTGGAACTTACATTTCGGTAGGAGAAGACAAACAGTAAATAAAGAAGCAAATAAATTAGCAAGGTAATTTCCACTCACCGTAAGTTCTATGAAGGAAACGAAGGAGGGTGCTGTGCAAAAGAGGGGGGCTGCTTAGGAGGGAAGGATCAGGGAAGGTCTCTTGAAGGAATTGACACTTCAGCTGAAGCAAGAAGGCAGCCCTGCCAAGAGTGGGGAAGGGTGTTCTAGGCAGAGAGAACAGTAAGTCTCATGGCCTTGAGCAAGGGAGAACTTGGCTTGAGGAACAGAAAGGAGGGCAGTGAGATTAGAAGGCAGTGTGTGGAGGGGAGAGTGGAACGAGAGGAGGACAGAGCCAGGCAGGGGCCCCATCACATGGTTCTTGGAGTAGAGCTTTGACTCCTCCACTTATCACCTGACTTGGGAAGTCCCAACGTCTTCGAACTCCAGTTTCTTCATGTGAAGAATGGCTCTACCAGGAATTTCTTATCTCCTAAGTTCTAATTGTAATTGTTAGTACAATAATAACTACCATTTCTTGTAGGCTTTCTATATGCAGTTGTCATACTGGGTATTTTTCATACACGATTTGACTTAATCTTCACAACTGTGGCAGACAGGTATCATTCTTCCCATTTCACAGATGTAATTTGTCCCAGTCACACAGCGCTATCAGGGCTAAGAATGGAACCCATCTATGACTAACTCTAGTTTTGCTGGACTCCAAACGCTGCTGTACTATACTAATGTGAAATATTACCGCTATTCTGTTACTGAATCTTCAAGTCAAGCTGCCCTCTGCGACGTGGCCCCAGGGCCAGTGGGCACCACGATCCCCATGATGGCTCCTCCTTGGTCCCTGGGTCCCATAGCTGCAAGTTAGGACTCCCTGAATACTGCTAACCTAGCAGGGTGCATGGAAAACCCCGCATCTGAGACTCCTGCACTCAGCTCAACCCGCCTACAACTGGGAAGCCAGGCAGATGCTCAGAGCCTTCTTCCCCTACCTCCTCCCAGTCTCGCGCGCCTGGGTCCCCGCCCTTCCCAGTGGAGCTGTGAAGGGCGCAGGCGAGGCGGGGCCGGGGCTGGGGACCTGGCCAGAGCTGGTTCTGTGTCGCGCGTCAGAAGCGCTAGAGGTCGTTGAGGGGCGTGGGTGGTTCGGGAAGTGGGTGGCAGAGCGGGGCTGGGGACCGAGGCTGGAGGCGGAGCAAGATGGGATCGTGGCCGGGGAGGCGTGCCGCAACCGTAGTTAGAACTATCCGAAGGGCCGAAGGGCCAGGACTGCGGGATCCGAGATGGGAGAGAGCGCGGGTTCAGGAGAGACTGCAGAGACTGGGGGTGGCGAGAGAAAAGGTAGAAACAGGCGAGGGACACACCCACAGAGACACATATAGACTTGTAAAGCGGCGGGGGGGGGGGGGATTCAGAAATGAATCAAGACAGATTGGGGGAGAAATCAGAGAGCTGAAGAAGGATCCAGAAATGGAGAGGAGAGAGTCAGAGATGAGTCAGAGAAACAGAGACAGGATAGACTCGGTTAGGGAGAGACAAACATAAGGGAGAGGTACAGGGGGAAAGGAAGAGACTTGGGAGGGACTCAGAGACAAGGAAAGAACAGAAATAATAGTGGGAGTGGAGAATTAATGGAGCGGACAGAAGCAGAGACAGGCAGACAGCTGGCTCTTCATGCCACATACTCTTCTCATCTCCCTCCAGACCTACCCTTGGAAGCATAGATCCAGGCGTGAGAAGTACTACCAAGCTGCCTTTGTGGCCTTCCTTAAGAAAAAAAGAAAGATGGCCAAGGAGAAGGGCCTAATAAGCCCCAATGATTTTGCCCAGCTGCAAAAGTACATGGAATGTGAGTCTTCCTCTCCATCCTGAAGAATCCCTGCTCCTCATCCCCCCCTTTCCCTAGTTTCCCCAGTGGCCTTAAGCCAGTCAGCTCCTGAGATATGCCTATGGCTGGGAAAGGGAGGAGAGGGAGATGGGAGATGTCTTGTGGTCTCAGCTTTCCACCTACCTTCTCTGAACTTCAGCTGCCTGCTCCAAGTCTCAGAGAAGAGATGTAAACAGAGGTACCACTCTGGAGCATCTGAAATGTTATTCTCTCGATATTTCTCTCTGCATTTCTGGGTTTCTTCCTGGAATTTCTTCTTCATCTCACTTGAATCTTTTTTCCTGTTGGATGTCTGGGTGGGACTCCAGCAGAGGGCAGGGAGAACCAAACCAGGCTAATGCTCTTCCTTCATCCTCTTCATACCCTAGACTCTACCAACAAGGTCAGCGATGTCCTAAAGCTCTTTGAGGATGGTGAAATGGCTGAATATCTCCAAGGAGATGTGAGTGGCAGCTGGGAAATCCTCTCCTTGACCAACTCTTCCCATCTTTGATTTTGCTACTCTGCTGGGATCCCCAACTTCCAGGGATTATTCTGGGCCCACCCCTTTCTGTTCTCCCTCTCGATACCCCAGTGTCCTTTGTTACCACAGCTATTGCTATAGGACAAAGCAAGAGATTGTAATTGAGGACTCAGCCTTGAGAAGAAACCATAGTCTGCCTTAGATGCTTCTTAGCTCTACACTTGTTGTCTCTGTCCTTACTACTCCTAATTCTTCAGTCCCCACCTCCCATCCTGTACACTCCCTAGGGTAATGCTTGCTCTCATCATAGGCCATTGGGTACGAGGGATTCCAGCAATTTTTGAAAATCTATCTGGAAGCAGATAACATTCCCAATCACCTAAGCCTGGCACTGTTTCAGTCCTTCAAGATGGGTCACTTAGAAGACACTGTGGAAAATGGTATGGTCATGAAGGTGGGACTGAGCTGGACTTCCGGAAGAAAAGTCAAAGTAGTATGGGTTTTGGGAGAGTTGAATTGAGTTGAATTGAGTCACATGTTGGAGGCAGGGTTGGGGAAGAGAGGTGGAGGATGGCCATGCTGGCCTAGGAGCTGGAGGGAGGAAAGTTAAAGGGAAGAGTTGGAACAAAGGAAAAGAGAAGAGCCAGAGTAGAGAGACCCCCAACCTCAGATCTGCTGTCCTTTCTGTAACCAGATGTGGTGTGTCTCAGTGATGTCTCCTGCTACTTTTCCCTTCTGGAGGGTGGCCGGCCAGAAGACAAGCTAGAATGTGAGTGGCCATCCTGGACTGGGAGAGGGGAGGGAATGTGAGCCTTCCTTCCCTCATTTTTTCAGGATTCCTAAAGGCTGATAGGGCCAGACAAAGGTGGGGCCAGAGAATGGGCCCATTTCCTCTGTTCCCCTAGACTCCTTATTCCTAATGCCATTTACCATAGTCACCCCAGTTCCCATGTCCTGTGCGTTTTCATGTAGGTGGCCTGGGTTTTTCTTGGGTTGTGGGAGGTGTGTTCTGTCTCCCCTATTAGATTCACCAAGGGTGTTTCCCCTCCCTTTTTGTCTCCTCTCTCAGTCCCAGCACCAGGCTCTGGGCTCTTCATCTAAAAGATGTCTCCCATCTCTTTATTTCCCCTGTATTCTGTTATGAATTTGGGGGGTATCCCTCACAAACTGACCCTGGCCCCCCTAAAACACCCCACAGTCACCTTCAAGCTGTACGACACGGACAGAAATGGAATCCTGGACAGCTCAGTGAGTTGGGGGACCTGTATGCTGGCCAAGGGAGTATGTGTCCATTTGTCTGTGCCCTCCTGTCCCAACTCTTCCAGGGTCTTAAGAAGCAGAGGAAGCTAGAGGGAGAAGTCAAGTCCTCCAGGACTAAATTTGGGAGTGGGTCCCCAGCTCTTGGTTCCTAGAAGAGGAGGCTAGACACATGAATCGGGGGCTACCTTGCAAACATACCAACACACATAGACATTCATTTACTTGGCAGAGACACCTGAGAATGAGAGGTGGCTCTCGGGGCAGAACCCAGGATTTCTAGGGAAGAGTTTGAATGGTGGTAGTGAGGTGGGATATGGCTCTGGTTCTTAATTCTTGGTCTCCAGGAAGTGGACAGACTCATCATACAGATGATGCGAGTGGCTGAATACCTGGATTGGGATGTGTCTGAGCTGAGGCCGGTAAGGCAGTCTTTCCTTCATGTCCCTCCTTGTGCCTTCTCCCTGGTGAGTCCTGCATCTACCCTACCCCATCTCTGACAGGCAGCCGCGTTCCCTTGGTGAGGGTGGCTGGGCCGGATGTCCTAGGGGGCAGAGGTGTCAGATGTGAGGGGCCACTCACACCAGAAGTCCCCTCCGTTCCCTGCTCAGATTCTTCAGGAGATGATGAAAGAGATTGACTATGACGGCAGTGGTTCTGTCTCCCTCGCCGAGTGGCTCCGGGCTGGGGCCACCACTGTGCCCCTGCTCGTGCTGCTGGGTTTGGAGATGGTGAGTAGGAGAGGCTTGTGGAGATGGGTAAGATAGCTGCCTTGGGTTGTGTGTGCCAGAGGCTGGTGCTCTAAGGGCTTAGGCCCTCCCTAGCATCTGCTGTGTCCTCCCAGACTCTGAAGGACAATGGGCAGCACCTGTGGAGACCCAAGAGGTTCCCCCGACCGGTCTACTGCAACTTGTGCGAGTCGAGCATCGGTCTTGGCAAACAGGGGCTGAGCTGTAACCGTGAGTGGTGGGGCCTGGGAGTGTGGGGGCAGAGGGGCAGCCCAGCTATTTGCAGGAGCATGCTGCTTTGACCTTCGAGAGACCTGGGTTTGAGTCCTGGGCTCTGCCATTGGCTAGTTAGGCGGGAAAGCCACACAGCTTTCTCTTCCTTTCTTTCTTTTTTTTTTAAGATTTTATTTATTTATTTGACAGAGAGATAGCGAGAGCAGGAACACAAGCAGGGAGAGTGGGAGAGGAAGAAGCAGGCTTCCTGCCGAGCAGGGAGCCCGATGCAGGACTCGATCCCAGGACCCTGGGATCATGACCTGAGCCGAAGGCAGACGCCCAACGACTGAGCCACCCAGGCGCCCCCCTTTCTTTCTTTCTTGAAGTATAGTTGACGCATAATGTTACATTAGTTTCAGGTGTACCACATGGCCACATACCTTCTTGAAGCCTCAATTTAAAATGAGGTTTCTGGGCGCCTGGGTGGCTCAGTTGGTTGGGCGACTGCCTTCGGCTCAGGTCATGATCCTGGAGTCCCGGGATCGAGTCCCGCATAGGGCTTCCTGCTCGGCAGGGAGTCTGCTTCTCCCTCTGACCCTCCTCCCTCTCATGCTCTCTGTCTCTCATTCTCTCTCTCTCAAATAAATAAATAAAATCTTTAAAAAAAAATAAAAATAAATAAATAAATAAATAAATAAATAAAATGAGGTTTCCTCGCCTGAAAATGAGGTAACTGTGAGCATCAAATAAGCGGATGCAAGGAAAGTACTTTGCATGGTACATGTTCATATTATTAAGTCTGCAATAAAAATTAGCTGCTATTATTGCCATTGCTATTGTTAAATCTAGGCCTTTGCATCTTCCAGCTGAGTCCCCGGCATTTAGGAGGAGTGGGGGTAGGCATGTGGTAGCAATTGCTCTTTCACGGGGAAGAGTGAGCAAAAGGCACAGGTCTTGGAGTTGAGCCCCCACCTCAAACTTTAATTCTCTACCCCACTCTCATAGTTTAAGTGAATGATCCCGCCTTACACCCAGCTAAGGAGGAGATGGCGGAGGGGCTGTAACTAAGGCTCTGACCCTCTTCCTTCTCGCCCAGTCTGTAAGTACGTCGTTCATGACCAGTGTGCCATGAAGGCCTTGCCTTGTGAAGTCAGCACCTATGCCAAGTCTCGGAAGGACATTGGTGTGAGTGACTGCAGGCCCACCCCAGTACCACCCGCATCCTGGCCCTTGGCCCGTTGCTGCCCTCAGCCCTTCCCCTCGTCCCTGCTCAGACCCTCTCAGACTAGGGATTGCCTTTCTCCCCAAGATCCAATCACATGTGTGGGTGAGAGGAGGCTGTGAGTCTGGCCGATGCGACCGCTGTCAGAAGAAGATCCGCATTTACCACAGTCTAGTCGGACTGCATTGTGTGTGGTGCCACCTAGAGGTCAGTTTGGGAGCTCTCCAGCCTCCGCCTTGGGGCTCCTCCCTAAACTGCCCTCTGCACTGGTCTCCCTGACTACATCTCCCTCATAGCCACAGTTGCCCTTGCTCCCAAGGGCTCTCTTTCCAGTACTAGACCCTCAGAGTTGAGAGCTGATGGGTTCCCTCCATGATGTCTGTATGCCCACCTTGTCCTTCAGATTCATGATGACTGCCTGCAAGCCATGGGTCATGAGTGTGACTGTGGGCTGCTCAGGGATCACATCCTGCCTCCATCTTCCATCTATCCCAGTGTCCTGGTAAGACCCTTGGGCAGTGGCTAGGAGGGGACAGGAGGAGTGCTTCCCCTGATATAAACACACACACACACGCCATGTCCCTTTATAGCAGAGAACCTATACTTTTAGGATTCAGGTCAGACCGTTATCTGTTTAGGGATTCACATACAATCCAGTTTTCCTTCCGTTTGCTTCCCTCCCTTTCTAGGCCTCTGGACAGGAGCGTAAAGTTAGCAAAACAAGCCAGAAGACCATGGATGACTTAAATTTGAGCACCTTTGAGGCTCTGCGGGTACATGAAGGGGGTGGGTGTTTCTTGGCTGGAGCCCTCATAGGAGGGAATGAAGTGGGAAACATGGGGAATGATGCTTGTTCTCCAGAAGCCCCACTGTGGTAGGGGAAGGGGAAAGCATCTTTGGGGGCAGGCCAGCCTTCTGTCATTGTCTCCAGGGCCCATCTTAACTGGCAAAATCCTGTTTTCCTTATCCTTGTTTTTTCCCCAAATGCAGATTGACCCTGTTTCTAACACCCACCCACTTCTGGTCTTTGTCAACCCTAAGAGTGGCGGGAAGCAGGGGGAGAGGTGAGAAAAGATATACTGGGTCTTCTAAGATGGAGAAGGAGGACCGATAGAGGTTGGGGAATCTGTGTGTATGGAGGGGACATACCTTGAGGAGGACATCAAGAGGATGGAGTACAGACTGTCCATCCCCTACCATAAACTTTCCTTTTTCCCTCATACAGGGTGCTTTGGAAATTCCAGTATCTACTAAATCCTCGACAGGTATTCAACCTCCTAAAGGATGGTCCTGAGGCAGGGTGAGTATAGGTTGGGGACTGTATCACAGTGTTTGTATGTGTCTGCCTGTGTATGTTGGGGGAGAGCAGAAAAGAATACATGTTGGGAGGACAGGGCTAGGGGACCCCAAGAAAGCAGAATTCAGAATGCTGCTTTTAGTAATGTCGCTGGGTATCCCCATGCCCCTGAGTTCTCTGATCTTTGTTCTGCTCTCAAAACATAAAGATACCAGTTTCTCCCTAACCACTGAGGAGTGGCTATAACTTTCCCCATTGTATTTTTTCTCTGACCTTAACAAAAACAAGTCTTTTGACAAAGGGAAGGGGGGGTCATACGGAATGAGAGATAAGAAGTAATCTGCCTGTCCAGGAGTTGGTAGACTCAATCCTATTGTCCTTCCTCATCTTCTCTCTTCCCTTCTATCTCAGGCTCAGATTCTTCAGGGATGTTCCCGGTTGCCGGATTTTGGTGTGTGGTGGAGATGGCACAGTAGGCTGGATTCTGGAGACCATAGGTCAGTACAGGGAGAGGCTCTGGGAAGGGCACGGGGGCATTGGCCTTCTAGCGCTAACTCCCTCCATCCATCCCCTGACCTGCTTTCCTAGACAAAGCCAACTTGCCTGTTGTCCCTCCTGTTGCTGTGTTGCCCCTGGGCACTGGAAATGATCTGGCTCGGTGCCTAAGATGGGGAGGAGGTAAGTGGTTAGAAACTGTTTTCCTGGGAGATGAGGAGTTGGGTAGGAAGGGAAAGGCACATAGAGAAGGTGTCTAGGCATTGTTATAGAAAGAAGGTTGGGGGGACGCCTGGGTGGCTCAGTCGGTTAAGCCTCTGCCTTCGGCTCAGGTCATGATCCCAGGGTCCTGGGATCGAGTCCCGCATCGGGCTCCCTGCTCTGCGGGGAGCCTGCTTCTCCCTCTGCCTCTGTCTCTCTCTCTGTCTCTCATGAATAAATAAATAAAATCTTTAAAAAAAAAAGAAAAGAAAAGAAAGAAGGTTGGGGAAGAAGAGAGGCACGGATAGGTGGTTACCAAAGTGGATTGTCCCCAAGGAAGAAAGCTTGGGATGAAGCAAAGACCACAGTCTGAGCCTAGAAGGGTCAGGGTGACAGTCCTCTTCCCCATATACCAAAAAATATCCTTCTATTTCTCCCAACCAATTCTTCGGGCTCAGAGAATCAAGGAATACGGAGGACAACGTGGGAATAAGAAAGGTTGTATAAGAGCTAAACCAGATGTTCAGTGATGGAGCTAGCAGGGAGCTTGGCCATGATTCATTCAACCACTCAGCCAGTTAATCGGGGGTCATTCATTCATTTATAATCATTTCTTCCCAAGTCAGTCGCAACAGTCTCTTAAATGTACTCTGATCTCTAGACTCTTTCTAGTCTCCTTACAAACAGAAAGAGTTCAAGGGATGGTATTGGTAGATAAAGAGGTCAGGGTGGGGCAGGTTGAGTTTGAAGTGTCTTTGTTTGAGGCTGTTGGACTCAGAGTCCAGCTCTGAGATCTTGCAGAAGTTATGGAAGGAGAGTGAAAGGCATTCTAGGTAGAAGTTGTGTAAGGCCAAACAGCATTGTAGTGCATGCATTAGGGAGTGTGAGTCATTCATTATGACTGGGACATGCAGTGCAAGGTGGGGAATGGGGAGAGGAAGGACTGAGTTGAACCGGGTCCAGATTATGGAGGGTCATGAATGCTGTGCTGAGGAGTTTTTTACTTTATCCTGCCAGAGATTGAAAGCAGACAGCCCACAGAAATGACTTGTATTGTTTTGCATTGTTTGCCTTGCAGTGTTTTAAATTTTTTAAACCTTGCTTATTTCTAAGAAGTGGGTCATATATTCTGCAGTTCACCGCAATCTTCTCAGCTCCCTACTATTCACTCATTCATTTCACCTTTCTAGCCACTGAGGCATTTGAATTTGCAAACCCTGAACCATAGGGAACTCCTGAACTCATGAAAAATGTAACTCAAAGAAAAAAAAAATATATATATATATATATATACCTATTTTATATATACTTATATATATAAATTATGTTCTCTCTATATATATGTAATAAAAATTGTTGTGTAAATAAAATACTATTCCAGAATGTAGAAATATCTCTGAGTACATATTATAATCTAAATCTTGTATATAGGGCACCTGGGTGTCTCAGTTGGTTAAGCATCTGCCTTCGGCTCAGGTCATGATCCCTGCTCAGCAGGGAGCCTGCATCTCCCTCTGCCTGGTACCCCGCCTGCTTGTGCTCGCTCTCTCTCTGACAAATAAATAAACAAAATCTTTTTTTTTTTTTAAGATTTTATTTATTGGACAGAGAGAGACACAGCAAGAGAGGGAACACAAGCAGGGGGAGTGGGAGAAGGAGAAGCAGGCTTCCCGCCGAGCAGGGAGCCCGATGTGGGACTCGATCCCAGGACCCTGAGATCATGACCTGAGCCGAAGGCAGACGCTTAATGACTGAGCCACCCAAGCGCCCCAAAATAAATAAAATCTTAAAAAAAAAAAAAAGAATGCAACTGTTGATCTCCAGGTCAGGTCATGAGTTCAAGCCCCATGTTGGGTGTAGGCTTACTTAAAAAAAAAAAAAAAATCCTTAATTTAATCACATTAACAAAGTCTCTTTTGCCATGTAAGGCAACATATTCACAGACTCTGGAGATAAAAATGTGGACATCTTTGGGCACCCGGCTGGCTCAGTCAGTAGAGCATGCAACTCTTGATCTCGGGGTTGTAGTTTCAAGCCTCACATTGAGTGTAGCAATTACTTAAAAATAAAAAAGAACACAGGGGTGCCTGGGTGGCTCAGTTGATTAAGCGTCTGGCTCTTGGTTTCGGCTCAGGTCATGATCTCCAGGTGGGAAGATCTCAGGCTGGGTTCCTAGCTCAGTGGGGAGTCTGCTTCCCCTCTCCCTCTGCCCCGTCCCCCTACTCACTTCCAAAGGCGCATGCATGTGTTCTCTCTAAACTAAATAAATCCTAAAAATAAATAAATAAAAATAAAAATACTGCAGACATCTTTAAGAGGCCACTATTCTGCCTACCACAGACACCAAGAAGGAACAATCAGAGAGGATCCTCTGTAGCTTAGAGAATGGTATATTAGAGGCCAAATGAGGAGTTTCATGAGTTAAAATGAGAACTAAAGATTTACTGTTGGTTTTGGCAGGAATTATTGGCAATCTTTGCCAGAAGAGTTTCAGCAGGGTGGCATGGTGAAAGGCAAATTACAGTGGGTTGAACCATCAGTGGAATGTGAGGAAGTGGAGACTTACTTTTTTTAAATCTTTTTTTCCCCAATTACAAAAGTAATACATTCTTGTGGTAAAAAATAATTCAGGGGCTCCTGGGTGGCTCAGTTGGTTAAGTGTCTGCCTTCGGCTCAGGTCAAGATCCCAGGGTCCTGGGATCAAGCCCTGCATTGGGCTCCCTGCTCAGTGGGAAGCCTGCTTCTCCCTCTCCCACTCCCCCTGCTTGTGTTCCTTCTCTCGCTGTGTCTCTTTGTCAAATAAATAAATAAAATCTTAAAAAAAAATAATTCAAACATTTCAGATACACATGCCAAAAAAGTTCCCTGTAATCTACTCCCTAAAGTTTTGGAATCTATTCCTCCATGTTTTTCTTTCTAGACTAATATGTACTTAAACAATGAGATCATTCTATTGATGTTTTTCTTCTTTTTTTAAAACTAAACAGTTCATCGTGGTTATCATTATATTTCAGTACAGTCAGATTTACATCACTCTTTTTACTACTGAATAGCATTCCATTGTGTCCCCTATTGATAGACATTTGGGTAGTGGTCAGTTTTTTATTACCAACCATGCTGCAGTGAACACCTTGCACATCTATCTCTGCACACAGATGTGAGAATTTCTCTAGGAGATATTTCTAGAATTGCTGGCTCAAGAGTACAAACATTTTATATTTGGCTAGTTATTTTCTTTTTAAAAGTTATACAAATAAAAAAAAGTTACACAAATAATATATCAGTACATTTTCTTTTTTTTTTTTTAAGATTTTATTTATTCATTTGAGAGACAATGAGATAGAGAGAGAGCATGAGAGGGGGGAAGGTCAGAGGGAGAAGCAGACTCCCCGCCGAGCAGGGAGCCCAATGTGGGACTCGATCCCGGGACTCCAGGATCATGACCTGAGCCGAAGGCAGTCGCCCAACCAACTGAGCCACCCAGGCACCCCATTTTCTTTTTTTTTAATTTTATTTTATTATGTTATGTTAGTCACCATACAATACATCATTAGTTTTTGATGTGGTGATCCATGATCCATTGTTTTCGTATAACACCCAGTGCTCCATGCAGAACGTGCCCTCCTTAATACCCATCACCGGGCTAACACATTCCCCCACCCCCAGTACATGTTCACTGTAAAAGACTTTACAAAGTAAAATGTGTAAGTGTTCACGTATAGGTCTCCTCCCCCTACGTCCCTTCCCAGAGCTAACCACTGTGTCCTATTTGCATTCATTTTCCTGTTTTTATATGTACACACACACAACTTTTAAACAAACATAAATGGGAACATACTACAGAGATTGTTCTGGGATTTCTTTTTTCATTGAATAATATGTCTTGGAGATCTTTCCATGTTAGTACATATAGATTACATTCTATATTCAGTGGTTGTACATTATTTCTTGGCATGGATTTGCCATAATTTATATAACCTTCCCCTGCTAAAGGGCATTTAGATTGTTTCCAATTTTTTGCTGTTTTAGAGAGTACCTCAGCAAACATCCTTGTACATACATCTCTGTTTACATGTATGTCCATTTTTTTTAAAGATTTTATTTGTTTATTTGACAGAGAGAGGGAACACAAGCAGGGGGAGTGGGAGAGGGAGAAGCAGGCTTCCCGCTGAGCAGGGAGCCCAATGTGGGGCTCGATCCCAGGACCCTGGGATCAGGACCTGAGCCGAAGGCAGATGCTAAACGACTGAGCCACCCAGGCGCCCCTGTATGTCCATTTCTGTAGGAGAAATTTCTAAAAGTGGAATTGCTGCATCAAAGTACTTGTTTTGATAAAATTTGATAGCATTGTGATAAAAATTGCCAAATTGCCTTCCAAAATGGAATACCAATTTATGCTTCAACTAACAGCACATGAGAGTGTTGGTTTACTCATAATCTCATCAACACTTGGTTTTGTCAATCTCTTTATACTTTATCAATACAATAGGCAACAAAAAGTCAACCAATTGTTTTAATTTACAGTTGTTTTAATTGTTAGTAATACTGAGCATCTTTTTTTTTTTAAGATTTTATTTATTCATTTGAGAGAGAGAGAAACCACAAGCAGGGGGAGGGGCAAAGGGAGAGGGAGAAGCAGACTCCCCACTGAGCAGGGAGTCTGACATGGGGCTCCATCCCAGGACCCTGAGCAGAAGACAGACCCTTAACTGACTGAGCCACCCAGGTGCCCCAATACTGAGCATCTTTAATCTGCATATTGGTCATTTGTATTTCTTCTTCTGTGATTGGTTTATTTGTGTTATTTGCCCATTTCCTATTGACTTTTTAGATTTAGTGATTTATAAGCATTTTTCGAATGTTGGTGAAGTTAGTCTATTATATGTGCTGCAGATATTTTTTCCCAGTTTGTATTTTTTTAGGTGTGTGTTTATTTAACCAAAGAAGTTTTAAATTTTAGATTTCTTTCTTTCTTAGAGAGAGAGAGAGCGAGCATGGGGGAAGGGGCAGAGGGAGAATGAAAGAGAGAATCCCAAGCAGACCCCCGCTGAGCATGGAGCCTGATGTGGGGCTCGACCCCCCAACTCTGAGATTATGACCCTAGCCAAAACCAAGAGTCAGACACTCAACCAACTGAGGCACCCAGGTGCTCCAGGAAGTTTTAAATTTTAATATAATTGTATTTACCAGGGACACCTGGGGGGCTCAGTCAGTTAAGTGCCTTCAGCTCAGGTCATGATCCCAGGGTCCTGGGATCGAGTCCTACATGAGGCTCCTTGCTCAGTGGGGAGCCTGCTTCTCCCTTTGTCTGCTCCTCTCCCTGCTTGTGCACTCTCTCTCTCTCTCTCTCCCTCTGACGAATAAATAAATAAAATCTTTAAAAAATCTTTATTTATCAGTCTTCTCCCTTTTTGGCTCCCAGTTTTGTATTATGCTCTAGAACAGCCTTTTCCACTCAAAGATTTCAAAAATATGCACTCATGTTTTCTGCTAGTACAAATTCTGCTTCATTTTTTTACATTTAAATTCTTTGACACATCTTGAATTTATTTTGGTATAAAGAGTGACTTCTGGGGCACCTGGGTGGCTCAGTCGTTAAGCATCTGCCTTCTGCCCGGGTCATGATCCCAGGGTCCTGGGATCGAGTCCCGCATCAGGCTCCCTGCTCTGCGGGGAGTCTGCTTCTCCCTCTCCCACTCCCCCTGCTTGTGTTCCTGCTCTCACTGTGTCTCTCTCTGTCAAATAAATAAATAAAATCTTAAAAAAAAAAATAATAGTGACTTCCACATCCAGCACCCTTTATTGAATAATCTATCTTTTCCCATGTCTTTGAAATGCCATCATATACTAAATTTCCACGTATATTTGAGGCTATTTGTAGGCGCTCTGTTCCTTACTACTGAGCTTCTTATTCTATACACTGTGCCGGTGTCAGTGCTTTGATACCACTGCTTCATACTGTGTTCTCTCTGGTAGAATAGGGAAAGAAAGTGTGTGTGTGTGTGTGTGCGCGAGAGAATCCTTATTCATCACTCATCTTTTTCAGTGTTTTGTATCTTCCTGGCTGTTTCCGCTAATCTTTCAGATGAACTTTGGTGTTATTGTTAGATGCATACACATACCGGAAACTCACTCTCTATGACAGTGTGGAGAAAAGGGTCAGCAGGGGCTGACCTTAAGATTGTTCCATGGAGTGGCACCTGGGTGGCTCAGTCATTAAGCGTCTGCCTTCGGCTCAGTTCATGATCCCAGGATCCTGGGATCAAGCCCCACATCGGGCTCCCTGCTCAGCAGGAAGCCCGCTTCTCCCTCTCCCACTCCCCCTGCTTGTGTTCCTTCTCTCCCTGTCTATCTGCAAATAAATAAATAAAATCTTAAAAAAAAAAAAAAGATTGTTCCATGGAAAGGGCACCTGGCTGGCTCAGTCAGTAGAGCATGTGACTCTTGTTCTCAGGGTCGTGATTTTGAGCCCCACGTTGGACATAGAGCTTACATTTAAAGAGAGAAAGATTGGTCCATGGGAGCTAGGACCAAGCACCCTGCCCTGTATTTCTTTTTTTTAAGATTTTATTTATTTGTCAGAAAGAGAGAGACAGCAAGCAGGGGGAGCAGCAGGCAGAGGGAGAAGCACGCTCCCCCCCACTGAGCAGGGAGCCTCATGTGGGGCTGGATCCCAGGACCCTGGGATCATGACCTGAGCTGAAGGCAGATGCTTAACCAACTGAGCCACTGAGGCATCCTGCTCCCCGCTGTTTCACTGGCTAGGGCTAGGAGGGTCTGCAGAAGCAGGGCAGAGGATCTCTGGGAATCTGTGGGGCTGGGAGCTGAGAAGAGGACCCTCTGAGACCCATGGCTTAGTTCTAACCTGTCTTCTCCCCCATCCTTAGGGTATGAGGGGCAGAATTTGGGGAAGATCCTCAAGGATTTAGAGATGAGTAAGGTGGTACATATGGATCGATGGTCCGTGGAGGTGATACCTCAACAAACTGAAGAAAAGAGTGACCCAGTCCCCTTTCAAATCATCAATAACTACTTCTCCATTGGTGTGGTCAGTGAAATGGGGCATGGGGGCTAGGGAGGAAGTATGGGTTCAGCAGCAAGAAGCTAGAGCTGGTTAGAAAGAGGAGGTAGAGGTTAAGGGAGCTGTGACACAGGGAAATGGCGGGTGGGGTACAGTGGTGTGAGTTGCAAGAAAAGAACATGGGACATACTGCTGCCGAATGGGGGAATTAAAGAGAGTATTCTGTGCCGAGAGAGGAGGCAGGCCTCTGATCCTACATGCCCTGAACTCCCCAGGATGCCTCTATTGCTCACCGATTCCACATCATGCGAGAGAAATATCCTGAGAAGTTCAACAGCAGGTGAGGGAGAGGGAGGTGGGGGTGGCCATACACAGTGGGAAGGACCAGATTGTGGCCAAGTTTGACTCAGAGCACTTAGATGAACAGTGGCACCTCTGAGAAGCCCCTCAATCAAAGCCATCCTCTTCCCTAAAGGACTGGAGTCAGGAGGTTGATGTCCTTCCCTGTCACTTAGCCCTCCTCTGCCAACACTGTGTAACTTGTCCCCTCCCTCTTGGGCCTTATGTTGGGGCTGACACAGAATGAAGAACAAGCTATGGTACTTCGAATTTGCCACTTCTGAATCCATCTTCTCAACATGCAAAAAGCTGGAGGAGTCTTTGACAGTTGAGGTGGGTGTGATGAGGGCCAACCCTACATGCTTCTCACTTTCTTATATCTTAATCTCTCCCTCCACAGGTGCCCTCAGGAACTTCCCCTATTCTTGAACCTATACTCTGACCTCCCAGCTCTCCATTCCCAATTTCCCGGGTTCTCAATACAACTGGTCCCTATTTCCTGCCATCCTTTGCAAACCCCCAACTCCTGGCCTTCCCAGTTTGTCATCTGGTGGAGGGAGGGGTCGCATCCATGATTATGACAGGAAGTAAGGATTTGTGCTCTCCTCTTCTCAGATCTGTGGGAAACCACTGGATCTGAGCAACCTGTCACTAGAAGGCATCGCAGTGCTGAACATCCCTAGCATGCATGGTGGTTCCAACCTCTGGGGTGATACCAAGAGACCTCATGGAGATACCCATGGAATCAACCAGGCCTTAGGCGCTACAGCTAAAGTCATCACTGACCCGGATATCCTGAAAACCTGTGTACCAGGTGAGCAGTCTTGGGAACTGAGTGGGCAGGACCAAGGGGAAGGTGTGGCTCCATTTGGAGGCACCCCGCTCCTGCAAAACCTATCTCCTTACTTCCCACCCACAGACCTAAGCGACAAGCGGCTGGAAGTAGTAGGGCTGGAGGGTGCAATTGAGATGGGCCAGATTTATACCAAGCTCAAGAATGCTGGACATCGGCTGGCCAAGTGCTCTGAAATCACCTTCCAGTAAGGAAAACTCTGGCCAGGGGCTCTGAGGGAAGGAGTAGGGCCGGGAGAGCAGAAGGGTCATGGGGATGGTAGGGAGGAGCTGTACTAGGAGATCTTCCTTGGTAACAAAGGGTCTCAAAACCAAGCTAAGAAACAGAGTTTTGGTATTCAGTTGGTAAAGAAATCTCCACCAATCTGCCTTGGCCTCCCACAGCACCACAAAAACCCTCCCCATGCAGATTGATGGAGAACCCTGGATGCAGACACCCTGTACAGTGAGTATTGCCTATGCCTGCCCAAAATGGCACCCTCAGGCTTTGTGAATCCGAAACCTCCCTTCCACAGCTTCCTTACTCCATCCCAATGTCTCACGTTCCCCTGTGCACCATTCCTCCCAAGTCATGATTTCTTAGCCCCAGGCTTCCTGCCATGGCCTCTCTAGGACCCTGGCAACTCCCCCTCACCCCACAGATTTTCCCTCAATCTCTACTGCTCCAGTCCAAAGGGAATGGGGTCCTGCCTCTGAACATGCCCCCTTCCCTTCCAGATCAAGATCACCCACAAGAACCAGATGCCCATGCTCATGGGCCCACCCCCTCGCTCCTCCAATTTCTTTGGCTTCTTATGCTGAGGGGAACACCTCAGCCTCCAAGCCAGCCTTGAACCCACCTCTTCATCCCTGGACTCTACTCCTAGGCTCTGTACATTGCTGCCACACCTCCTGCCAGCTCAGGGGAGTGTTCCTCTACCCTCTCAGTATTTATTATCCTGCACCATCTCTACTATTTCCCATGCATACGTGCGTGCGTGCGCGCACACACACACACACATTGAAAGTGCCTCATCTGAATAAAATGACTTTTTTTCTCTCCACTGGGATATCTGTTAAGTAAATGGTACACCTCCTTCCCATATACCTCCCCTCCTTAAATGACACAGATGCTCCCAACAGCAAGAAAAAAAAAAAAAAACAGCACCAGGTTCTGAGGATTTATTTCAGGTAATGGTAGTCTCCAAGGGAAGACTGGAGGAAAGATAAGCATTGCTGTCCACGCTGGGCAAATCACAGCATCACATGAGATTACTCAGACCTGCTGCTGCCCACTGAGGAGGGGCCTGTTCTCACCAATGGGGCAAGAGCGGAAGACCCGGGGCAGACGCAGCCACTGGGTGCTACCACGTGGCAGCTGGGGAAGGGGGAGGGCTGAGCCCTGCTTCAGAAGTCTTCGCCTGAAATTGGGAGAAGGAGGGAGAAACTGATTAGCAATGGACAAGGGAAGCCTATCTGTGCTTCTCCAAAAAAGGAGGCCCCAGGTTTACTTGACCGTGATCCTAGCTCCCTCCCCTTCTCACCAACAAGATTCATCTTGTCTTGTTTTTATGGTAACCTCTGTCCATTTCCCTCTTACCCTACAAGCTTCTCTGCTTTGAGGACCTTGGCACTCCAGGCCAGAGCATCTGCCCTTCTCACAGGTAGAGGACTCAGGTCACCCAATTTCCTCCACTCTTGATGTTATTATAAACAACAGTCATCAGTATCATCATTTATTGTACTCCCGCTTTAGAACTGGGTGCCCATAGGGCGGATATTAGTTTTCCTACTTATCAGAGGCTCAGGGACGTTAAGCTACTTTCCCAAGGTCCCCCCAGCAAGACTGCAGCCCAGGTCTGTTTAACTTCCAAGTCTGGGTTCTTTCCTGGATACCATGCTTCTTCAAAAGAAGTGGTGGTTCCTTCTCCTCTTGAGGAAGAACGAGTAGCGGTCATAAGGGATAAGGGGGTGTGAACTAGATGGTGGGGCTCTCACCTGTATACCAGCGATACAAGCACCATAGCCATCAACACCAGCAAGAGGCCCACGAACAGGGGAGCCTGTCCAAGGCCTGCTTCTTGACCTGTGAGCAGAATCCCAGGCACAGCTTCGGTTAGTGTCTGCTCCCTGCCAGATGGCCTCTGCCTATTGCCCCCACCCCCTTCACCCTAACTCTTGTCCAAGTACCTACCAGGCATTACAAGCTGGGTGCTGACCATTGCCAGACTGTTGGCATCAGCCAAAGACACATTGAGGCAGTAGGTCCCTGAGCCACCCTTCAGGACTTGGTGCAAAACCAGCTGGCAGGCTGGGCTGGGTGGCACAGGCTGACATAGCCGCTGGGCAGGGGGCTGGCACCCTGCTGATGAGATGTCCATGCAGGCTTCCTTGGGCAGCCTGCAAGAGGTGTCAGCTTAGGTCGGGGCGACTGGGAAGGAACAGTAGACACCAGAGGGCAGTGCAACAGTCAACCCAAGAGTTCCCAGGAAACCAGTGGGACACTCACCCTCCTTGACAAGACACCGTCAGCTCGAATGCATCCCCTTCGCTGGATGGCACAGCCTGCAGGATCTCAGCACTCTCAATACCCCCTGCAGAGTTGCAAGAGTTTACGTCTGGGATGCCTCTACCAGGCCTCTCCAAAGGCCCACAGAGAGGAAAACCCTAGGGCTGCTTCCCCAATCCCATCCGTGCCTTCAAAATAAAAACCCTGGGATTTGGGTGTTCTTGTCCCGGTGAGTAACTCCTTCCAAGGTATGCTTCCACTGGCCAGCCTTAGGCAGGACACACCTCCCTCCACCAGCCCCCAAAGCAGTCAAGACTCACGGACAATGTCCAGGGTGAGAGAAAAGGAGCCATATCGATACAGAACACAATCCAGGGGGGTTTGTCGCTTTGCCAGGATTAAGGTAGCTACGCCATCCAGCAGGGGGTTCTGGGAACCTGGCAGGAGAGGATCGAAGAGGCTGTCAAGAGACAAATGACTCACTGGAAGTAGAGGCCACACAGGCATTTTTCCAGGTAGAGTCAGACCTGGTGGATCCAAGCTTGGAATCAGACAAGACCTGGAAAACCTCATTTTATAGATAAGGAAACTAGAGCCCAGAAGGAAGAATGAGCACCCCAGAGTCACACAGTTAGGAGTAGAGTTGGAGTTTTAAGAAATCCCAAGTGTTTATCACCCCCCACACCGTGCTGGGTCCTGGGCTAGACATGACACAAGTTAACTCATCCCTGTGCCACCATGTCATGCCTACCTTTTCAGTGTTCCTACCACAATTTCAGGTTGACCTGCTTTGGGATAGGAATCCAGGGGTGCGAAATGGTGCCAGAATCTGAGGCAGAATATTATGCATTTATACTTGCACAGAAAATGAGATACAAATATTATGTAAATGACCACGTGCTGTTCCCTGGCCTTCTCCTTAGGGAATAGCTCTCCTCAGAGGCAGAGAAGCAACAAGCTCTCGCTCCATGGCCTAGGGAAAGACCCTGGTTTCCTGAACTGCAGATCTATTCCATGTTATTAAGGGGGACTTGAGGGCTTAAAACTAGTGGGAGCTCTGACGGGACTCCATTGCTAAGCAAAGGAGTGGGTAACATCTGGGGCCTAGGTAAGGCTTTTAGCTCTTCAGAGTAGTGACAGAGGCCCCACCTCAATGAACCTCATTCACACTGGCCCTCTTACCTGCTATACCTTCTGTAGGCACGAATGGGTTGGCATCTGGACCCTCAGGCTCAGGTGTGGGTACCTTTCCAGTTGTGGGCTCCACCGACTCTTCAGTTGTTACCTGGGCAGCTGTGGTTCCAGAGGGCTCTGCGGTTGAGCCTTCAGGTGTTGTACCTATGGTCTCTGCGAGTGTGGTACCTGTGACATCTGAGGTCGGTACCTGCTCAGTTGTAGTACCTATGACCTCTGTAGTGGGCATCTGTACAAGCGTAGTGATCTCCGTGGTTGGCATCTGCACAGCTGTGGTTCCAGAGGGCTCTGCAGTTGGCACCTGACCACGTGTCGTACTTACAACTTCTGCAGTAGGCTCTTGCCCAGCTGTGGTGCCGGGGGCCTCTGCGGTTGGCACGTGCCCATCTGTGGTGACTGGAACTGGGGAGGAGCCACAGGAAGGGAGAGGAATGGCAGCCTGCAGCACCACCTGGGCAGTGATTGGGCCAGACTCTAGGTAAGTGTGAGTGACCACAAGTGCCCGAGAGATCAGGGTCCCAGTATGGTCTCCAAAGTCCCAGGTGTAGGAGAGGTCAGCCCCAGACAAATAGCCGCTGGGGTCATGGAGCCGGAGGGCAAAGGTCAGAGGATGATTTCTCAGGAAGTGCTTGTTCCCTCCATCCAAGGCCTGCAGCTGGGACACACTCACGGAGAAGGGCACCTGGTCTGGGATCGGAGCCAGAAAAGGTGAGAACCAGACCTGGGCCACAGCTTTTTTCACAGCCACACCCTCCGACTCCAGCTGACTGGCCCTTCACTGGCTCCAAGCCCCACATTCTTCTGCCCATGTCTTCCTGGCTCTGCCCCTTTAAGGTTACACACCATTTCCCCTTTCCCCATTCCTTTTTCCCCTTTCCCCTCTCCCCTTTCCAGTCAGGCCAAGCCTCCCCATCTTCTACCGCCCTGCACCCTTGTGACTGGCTTTGCCCCTTCCTAAATCCTTACCAGTAATGGTGAAGGCTGAGCAGGAGTGAGCAAGGGGCACGTAGCTCTGGGACTCCCGGCGGTGGTAGACAGTCACTTCCATGGTATGTGTGCCCAGCATTGCCTTGCCTGTTACAATGCTCAGCCCCGACACTGGGCCCCCCAGAACTTGCCAGTATTGGCCTGCGGTTTTTGAAAAGAAAAGCAGGGGTGGGGGAGGTACTGATCAAAGGGAACTGAGGGGAAGGATTAGAGACAGGGCACCAGAGAAGGAAGGTCCAGTAATGTACTGAGTATGGTTATTTCAGAGAGTCTTTGGAAGGTGGTCCTGTGGGGGTCAGGAAAGGAATCCTGATAAGGGGATCCATGGGATAGGACAATAATTGGGGAAGGGCCCCCAGAAACAACTATAGTAGAGAGAGTTGGAGGGGGCTGGGTGCTATCGAAGAGGAAAGATCCATGGGGGCAATGAAGATTAAGGAAACTCACAGAGCAAAATGAAAGGGGATCAGGTAGGAAGAGGTAAATCCAAGAGTGGATGACTCACCCCAGGTCTTCCAGACATAAACAAAGCTTCTTGTATGAGACCAAGGGCCAGATGGGCAGGCCCTCCCATCAGGGAAGATGCAGGCATCATCAGGTACCTGGGGATACACTGGCTGTCCTCCCCACACCTGGCTCCCTGAAAGGTAGATACAGTCACCCTCAAAACCTGGCATTCCTTTCTATACACCAAAACCCCTACCATGGCTGCCAGAGAGGGGCTGTGGGAACACTCCTTAGCTACATAGGACATTCCCTTTGTTATCACCCATTTGGGGTGGTAGCGGAAAGGATGGAAACTGGAATTATAGATTAATATGTACTTAATGACAGACAGAGGAAAGAGATTGGAAGGTCATACAGCAACATGTTTAGAGTGGTTTGCTCTAGCTGGTGGGATAAAAACAGTAAGAGTATCAGCTGACACTTACTGAGCCTCACCTTAGCCTAGGGCAGGCATTATGCTAACTTCTTTATATATTATCGCATTTTAATCCTTACAACAACATTCAAGGTAGTCAGCCCATTGTACAGTTAAGGGAATGGAAGGACAGAACAGTTAAGTTACTTGCCCAGGGTAACATATTATTTACAAATTTAAATCCATGTCTGTCTAAACTCTAGGTCCACTGGGTCCCCAATTTTGCATACTGTATTTTTTTTTTTGCTTTATCTGTGTTTTTAAAATTTTTTCTACAATGAATATTATAGAATATGTATACAATTTGTTTTTTTTTTAAAAAGTAGGGGCACTAAAAAAAAAAAAAGGGTGGCTCAGTCCCTAAGCATCTGCCTTTGGCTCAGGTCATGATCTCAGGGTCCTAGGATCGAGCCCCACATCGGGCTCCCTGCTCCGCAGGAAGCCTGCTTCTC